GGGACATGAAGAAAAAAAGAAAGAAAAAAAAGAGGCGACGGCCAAGTGTCGGGACCGGTTTCTGCGAAGGTCTGTGGTGTTTTGGAAGGCATAACGGACGCCTTCCATGTTCCATCCCCAGACGTCAGGCCCCGGGCAGTTGGGCGGTTGGGCGGTTGGCAATTCCCAACCTGGCATGATGCTCCCAAAGCAACGGGCACTCGTCAAAAGGACCACACGTCGGATGGAAGTCAGAAGGGCAGTCGCGTCCCAGACTTGACCATGCCTGAACCTGGGAGGTCCACCCGCGAAAGCAGGAATCCCATCACGTCGACGCACGGTGCAGGTGCGGCCACCGGTAGATGGAGCGGAGACCAAGAACAAGAAAGTCGCACGCGATGCATGGGGTTCAACTGTTGTCGGGAACGATATTGATCCGCTCTTCTCTGAGAAGGTGGTGCGGGCGCCTTTTTTGCACAGCCACCGCCAATAATGGATGGGCCAGCGGCGCTGAAGTTGGCTCGTTTCTCCAGGCCGTCATGCATGGAGATCTGGACACTTGACCCAGTGCTCTCACCCTCCTCCACCGTCGCTTGATCCTGTTGGGGAATGGGCCCCCCAGGTAGGCGGGCAGGCACAACATGCTGGGTAGCATCGGGCCTGGGCCGTTGATGTCGAGCGAGTCTAGGCTGCAGATGGACGTAGGAGGTTTTTCTTTTCCTAGCCCATGCGACAGATGGATGCTTACATCGTACTCTCGGATGGCTGCAGTTGATGGAGGGTGAGGGTTCGACGGCGACGGGTGGGCCAGCTCCGCCCTGGGTCACCAGCCTGCCCAGGAGTCTGGCGTTGTGATTTGCAGCCACATTCTGGGTGGTCAAACGCTCGGCGCAAGGGACCAATTGCGGCTACAGGTGACTGTGACAGCACCGGCAGCAGGCACCACTACAGCTCTTAGTCTTTCGTTCGCCTTTTTTCCCGGATTCCATTTTGCTTCTTGCCGGCCCTGCGCAGAAACCCACCCGCCCGTCCGCCTTGCTGTCCCGGCCGAAGGCCTTTACATGCCGCGCGCAGGGATGGCAGGCAAGGGTGATCAATCTAGTCGGTTTCCCGCCGCAGCCTATGGGCGCTCGTGGCCGATAGTGACAATCCGCTTTTTGTAAAACGCAGCGAGGCACCAAGAAAAAAAAAACCCCTCCGAACGCACGCGCCCTCGCCTCAGGTCTCCGACGTCCAGGGCGGGGGGCTCCGCCGTGGTAGCTGATGCTCGGCCATACCTCTGCCCGTTGCTCGGCCCAACCTCGCAGAAACTCCAGCTCAGGACCTCGTATCAAAACGTGTGCCTTTGCTGCCGTGTATGTAAATAGGAGCACATCAACGGCGGTGGGGTCTTGCCGACGGGTGTCCTTTGGCCACCTGCTGACGGTATCCTCTTTACCGCTTCACGTGGGCCCGGTTCCCGATTCTGTCGTCATTGTCGCAACGGGCAGGTCAAACAGGTTGCATGTTTGGCAACTCTTCAAGGCGCTAGAGAGACCGGGGCAGGCAGTGCGCTAGTGGTGTGGATGGCTCCCCCTGGACGAGATCCTGTCCCAAAAAGAAAAACCCTTACCCCTCCCTCCAATCTCGGCGGACGGGCACGCACGGGCAGTATCCTGTTGCACGCATGTCCCTTGGAGATAATCGCACGTCGCGGCGACAGCGTCGCACTGCTTGGTGATCGCTGCTGGGCGATTTCAGATAAAAAAGCTCGGCGTGGTCGAAACGGGCCTAGCGGGCTAGAGCGAGCAGGCCACCTCTCCCTTGTCATCGTCGACGCCTCCCAGGAGTCATGGACCCTGAATGGGGCGGCATCGTGATTGGAGAGGCAGGGGATGGAGAGTGGGAACCGACGGCGAATGTCCCTGCAGCGGGGTGTGGCCGCTGTGGTGGATGGATCAGGAAAGCCGATGCTGGATCGGCTTTTCGAAGCAGCTGCAGTCCGTGGTTATCCTGTGATGCTTTGGGGACCAGGCCAGGAGTCGTGTTGGCGCTGTGGGTATTGGTAACACATTCACTTGGCTGTGCTGGCTTCCATCAGTCTATCCCGGACCTGGTAGCTCTGTTAGGCAGGTCTGTATGCGCTCACGAAGGAATCAGGTAATCATTAAGTATCGAATATCTATCATGTCTTTCGTTCTCCGAGGACCTCCAGACCGAGCCTCGTTGGGTTACCATCGTGTCGCCAAGTCTAGTTCGGACGATGTCTCCCAGCTCCTTGTGACAGAGCATCAGCCAAGGCTCCCAGGTTGGTTGTCGGCTAGGAGAAGCTGGCTTCATGTGCAAGAAGGAGCCACGCCCTATACAAGAGACCGAGGCCTAGAGATCGAGGCCTAGCTCGACCGTTGTAGGAATGGCCTGCTGCGAGATGGTGGCTGCTCTCGGGAGGTCCGTTGGTGATGTGCGAAGCCTGGATTTTCCATTGGTCGATGTGTTGAAGAAATAAACCGGATGCAAGATGTGCGAAAATGAAGAGAAACAGGAAGAAGGATGGAAGAAATTTTCTGCACATGCATCCGCTGCACAAGAATATCAGAGCGAAGCTCTCTGACTGGCCTTTCGGAGAGTGCGTCGGCTTACTAGCTCGGGATGGCAGGCTGTGGTTGTGGTGTTGTGTCAGCCAGATGGAAAGGGCCGCTGGGCCTGGCTCGCTCGGTGAATGCATGTGCTGCGCTGAGCAGATCCATGGTCGAAGCAAGCTGATGGCGGGCCCCGCTCCCGCTGCAAGGGTTGTCGAGTCGCGTCGCCGTGGTGGGTGGGTGGGGGTGCCAGCGTCTGCCAGCGTGGTCGTCTCTCGGCTTGGATTGAGGGGCAGGCACGGCGGGATTGATACCAAAGAGAGTGCTGTTTTGGAAACAGCAGGAGGGCGAACACAGTATTCATTCCTGCAAGCTAATGCAGCACATCGTACATATCATTTTGCGGCGTTATCGAGTACGGCAACACGAAACGATGTGCGTAGTGAGACCTTGCCAAAGCCGATTTTGCCTAGAGAATTTTGTTTTCCTTCTTTCAGTATTTTGCTGCAATAGGTGCAGCGACACCACCAAGCCAGCCAGCCAGCCAGCCGGAGTGACGGCCAGCCCATCCATTCGCCCATCCATTCGCCCATCCATTCGCCCTCCAAAGCCAGCACCCCTCCTTTACCCTCCTTCACACTTCCTCTCAAAAAAAAAGGGGGGGCTGTCGGCTGCAAGGCCAGGTCCAAACCTATCCATCACCATTATCTCCACCCACACAACGAATGGACTGCTGCAGCCCACCTCTTTTGGACAGCCGTGGCCCCCCTGTCCAGCGCGTGCAAGGCCCCGGAGCCCCCCGGCCGAAATGACGGCGCTGTTGGGGCAAAGGAAAAGAAATGATCCACGCCTGCCCACTCGAGCCCACGCGGTGGGCTTGCAGAACCACGATAGCCGATGGATTTCCCAAAAGGCAATAGGCCGTTTCTGTGGCCCCGAGAAGCAGCCATCTATTGTCATGGAATATCCTGGGCTGGACACTAGGAACGGCGACCCGCTGGCATCTCGGCGTCGGCATCCGCGCACGGGAAGCACAACTGAAAAAGAAAGAAAAAACAATTATCATGACTGTACGGTTCGGTCACTCAAAGGTTGCCCAGAGCAATTTGCACCATCGCTTCAGGATAGCTCTAGAGCGTACCACGGCTATCCGTCCATGGCAGCTAACTAACTTGGCGGTTGAAGGAGGGGAGGGGCCTGAGTCAAGGGAGCACAGCCCTCCCGCCGCGTCCGGAGAAGAGGAGGCCGGGGCTGGCAGACAGGTGGTAGGTGTCGGATGGCGTTGTACGGACCGTACAGCGTATCATGGGCTGGTTAACAAAAATACGGCACAACAGAGGTCTAATTGACATTGCGGGCATCGTCGGGTGATGGGCATGGCCGGAGTGCTCTTGGGCCAAAGGAGAAAACGCAGGCCCGATGCCTCTCGAGGCGCGGGAGGTGTGCAACCACCAGGGCAGCGCCATATCGACCCATAGATTTCCCAATGATTTCTGAAGAATTGGCAAACGATATGCTGACATCCCACTTTGGCGTTACGCTGCAGAGAAGGCCATCCCACATGCACAATCATCCCGCGCTCTCTAGCCCTAATGAGGAATGCCAAAAGATCCCTGCAACCCCTCCATGCTCCTTCGACTGCTGCCCTGAAAAGAGAGCCGTTCCAGCGGATGGCCTACCCGTCCACAGGCAGTCGCGTTGCATAGCCAAGCAGAGGTGTTGTGCCCACGCTCCGGCCTGCCCAGCGAGAGGCTGCGGACACAACCAACTGTTGCATGCGCTCCCACATGGAAGTGCTAGCTCCCGCGCCGCCCGAGGTACCCCACGCGTACGGGCTAAGCTCTCTACCGGTTATGTACCTGCCCTCCATGGTGAGCTGCCGCGCCCCTCCGCCGCCGGCCTTTGCATGTGTCCATTCAGCTGGAAGCAAGTAAAACCTGGTGGGCAGAGGAGGAGTTTTTGAAGAAAAGAAAGAGAGGGAAAAAAAAAGCCACAGTGATCCGATTATCTGCAGGCCGAGTTCCGTCTTCCTGTGAGTGACCAGGCGACCTTACTTGACTGCAAGCCCGCCAGCCAGAACACCGGGGGTTTGCGCCTGCCTTTTCCGATGTCAAACAAACATAAGAAGCTGCCCTAGCACCCCTCTCCATCGTCCCCGTCTGACTGGACTTGTTACTTCACCCCTGGTGCCTCCCATCTCTTACCACCTGCGCGAACCAGCATTCGGTTCTTGGCCTGCCTGTACGACGGCAAGTCTTCCCATCTCGCTCTTACCTAAGATGCTCGGTTCGTAGTGGCGGCCACCAAAGCGGTCAGAGTCAGAGCAGAGACAAAGCCCATCCGAACACAAATCAAGGCCACAGCATCGCACACAGGGGCAAGCCAAGGCGAGGGCCAGACGCGCATACAGAAGCGGTAGTAGTAGCAACAGCAACAGCAGCAGCAGCATACCCGTCGTCGCGGAACCCGGCCAACGGAGATTACAGCCGATGAGCGAGGAGCGGCCACGACCACAGACAGCCCAGCCACCGAGGCCTGTCGCCCATCAGTGGCACCGACGAGCACCACAGCAACTCAAGACATAAAAAACCCTGGGGCCCTGGGCGGAGTCGGCTCCCCATCGAGCCCACCCGCCGAACCCAGCGAGCCACCCCACCCAACCACAAATCCACCACCGCTACCCGCCCACCCAGAAGCCCACCCCCATCTGCAACGGTCCAAGTCATACAGGTTCTGTTTCGGTCGTCATTTGCCAATCCGCATTTGGCTCGAAGCGGCAGCTGAGTGGCACCCTGCCCCAGCCGGTCCATGAGGCGAGAGAGGCCGAGTCAAGCAAGGCCGCTGCGCTGCATTTTGCCGACTTACACGCGCGGCCAGCCAGCCCAGGTGGGCGTGTGTGTGCCACATTCCTCTGCGTGCCCTGGACAACGGCACTCTCTTGGGGACTCTCAACCCAACGAGTCCGACCGGGAGAACAACAGCGAGCGCCCTCTCGTGACGTCCGCTGCGCCCACACCCCCCTCCTCCTCGGTGCGGGTCTTAAAGGGTTGCTTTGCCGGGCGGCGGAAAATAAAAGGACACAAAAATAACAATAATAGACTAGAAGCACGGCGAACCGCAGCCAACCGACTAGCGGGCGGATATCGAATAACGTAAAGCACGCAACAAAGACGTTACCCGGTCCGCCGCGCCCCTCTCCTCCGTCACCGCAGCTTGCCTGCTTGGCCGGGCCGACGCGACGAACAAATTTCATCGATCGACAGTTCCATCGAGGCCGACACAATCTGGCTTCTCCTGAAGCCCGCTGTCTTACAAACCAAGCCCAACCCTAAGGGTCCAGAACCAGAAAAATCTCCACTCAGCCCTTGGCCTCTTGTGATTTTTTTTTTGTTTTTCCGCTTCTTGTCGACCTTGCCCGTTTCTGATATTCGACAGCCCGTCTTGGAATTTTGCATCGAACCGGAGTCACCCGAGCATCATTTATTGCCTTCTCTTACGGATACTTGCTTCTTTCTTTTTCTCCTCCCTTCTTACTGAGCCGGTCCCATATTTGTTGGCCACCACCTCTCGGCACTCTACTCACGGTCAATCTCTCTCTCTTGGGGGCGCATTTCCCGTCTGGTGCTCACAGGTGTCTCCAATTGTCCTGGTCTTAGTTTCTAGCATTTGCGCCCGGTTGCGACAAGGACCCGAATCTGGTGGCACAACATCTTTCTTTCTTATTTCCACACACGCCTCTGTTTGACCTTTTTGCTTTTTTTCTTTTCTCATATTTCTTTTATCCCCAAAACGTCAGTTCCAGCAGCCCACGGAAGTGGCTGGCCCTGGCTGCTGAATCATACCTACGAGCCTTCGGGACATTGCGCTTCCACTTGAACGCCACAAGGGCCACCCACCCCCACCGCCGTCGACAAGGCTGCACCCAGTCGAAGCTCTAACAGACACCCCGGTTCGGTGCCTGTAACGACCAGGACTGCCACCCGTGTCTTCCCCCGGTCCCCCGTGGGTGCCCCCCGTGCTAAAAAAAAAAAAAAAGGGCGACCAAAGACTAACAAAGCCCGCGCACCCAGAACTTGGCCTTGAACAAAAACCGTTTGACCGCCGGGTTCCGTCACCCTCCAGGCTTCGTTCGACCTTTACCGTCCGCGCCGCACATCCGCCCTCCATCGACGACAACAGCCTGCTTCCGCCGCCGCCGCTACTGCTGCAACTCCCTTCACCCAACCGGCCGGAAACACCATGATTATCGACGGCGAGAAGTGGGCTTGTGAGGCCTGCGTTCGCGGACACCGCGTCAGCAACTGCCAGCATTCGGGTGAGTGGCCCAAGAGTGAAATCCGCTGCGAGCGCCCGGCGACCCCAAAATCCAAGGGGAACCAAGCCTGCGCCTTCCCAATCTATCCGCACCCCTCCCCCTCCATCACCTGCAGCACCCACGCATGGAACAATTTTCCATACATGGCACAACAGCCCTCGCATTCCGCGGGGCTTTTTTTTCCCTTCCCTTGTGTCTGTCTGCGCCCACCACCACCCACCACCTGCCCAGCTGCTCGGAACGGGTAGTATCGCGTGCAGGGAATTGCGTCCCGGGTTCCGACAAGACAATCAAAAACAGGGCCCTTGCGACCGCAACCGAGCAGCACCAGCACCAGCACCGCCTTGGTCGCCGGCACCACCATAACCACATGCATCCCTAGCCGGACACGGAATATTGACGCTAACCGCTTGCATTCCTTCGACGCCCTGCAGACCGCCCATTACAGCACATCAACAAGAAAGGCCGGCCCGTGTCGCAATGCCAGCACTGTCGGTCGATGCGCAAGTCGCGCCAATCTCACATCAAGTGCGACTGCGGCGAGAAGTCCCACAAGTGCGCGCACCTGAAGACTACCGTCGAGGGTCACAGGGGTGCGTCATCCCTCGCTCTTTTGACCTTCCCCTTTGCCGATCTGCCGAAGTCCCGTCTCCTGGATGGCGGCGCGTGTAGCGCGGCATGGATAGCATGCATCGTCAGCCCCATGATGACTTGGCGCTAGGGTGTGGCCATATCAACTAACTTTCTCCTGCCCCGTCCAACAGATAGCTGCTGCTGCAACCACGGCGGCCGCTGCACCTGCTCTCACAAGAAAGAACCACAGCTCGACCCCGTGCCGGAATCCGACTCGGATGACCACGCCACCACCGTCTCTGCCACGGTGTCGTGCGGCGCCCTCGGCAAGCCGGCAGCCGCGACAAAACAGACCGCCGCCAAGGGAGGCGCCGTGCGCAGCAGGAGAAGAGCCAACACGATTCACTCCGACGGCGGCGCATCATTAACGTTTGACGAGAACGGTCGTCACAAGCCGACCTACAAGCACGCAAAGGCCTCGTCCAAGTGCGAGCCCTACCCGCTCAAGCGCGTCAACTCGGTCCACAGCACGAGCAGCCTCCCGAACCGAAGTCCCGCCGACAGCCCGGCCGCAGTCGGCTATGGTGCCGCCGACATGGCTTCTGGCCCCGAGGCGGCTGCCCGGAGAGCCGTCAAGTCCGAGGCCACCTCGCCTCTCCTGACACCCGGCTTCTCGCAGCTCAATGGCCAGCTGACGCCCCTCGACCTCTCGGGTATCGAGTATCCACGCTACGTTCCCGGTGCCGGCAGTGCCGGCTTTGACCTGTTCGGGACGGGCGGCCTCGCAGATCACGAGGGCCCCATGTTCAGCGCGGGTCTGACCGCCCCTCACGTCGACTGGAGCCACTACGACCTGGACTTTGGGCGGTCCGGCGGCGACGGGTTCGCCTCGTCCAGCTACGGCGGGGGCGCCCACGGATACACGGGCGCCGGCGCCTTTGACTTCAGCGGCTCCGAGCAGGCGCCCACCATGACGACGGCCACGTCGGGCGACGTGTCCGAGGTCGAGGACTTCATGGGCCCCGGCGGCGCAGACGACTATGACGTGGGGAGCGCATTCGGCGCCGCGTACAGCGGCCTCGCCTCTGGGGCCGCTGACCTGTCGGCTCTCGAGTACGAGGACTTTGACCCCGTTTCAAAGGTCCAGGGGGCGCTGGGCGCCGGCACAGGCACCAAGCTGTACGCGACCTCGTCCGCCGCCGGCACCGCTGACGACTCGGTCCTGGCCGCCGTGCCCGCCAGCGCCGCATTCGCCGACGACCCGTTGTTCTGGATGAATGATTATCCGCACGGCATGCCTATTATTGACAACTCCACCCCGGACCCAAATGGGCTCTACAACTGGGACACCCGGTAACAGCCAATGCGGCTGCTATCACCCAAAATTCCAAGGAGCCTCTGGGACAAACGCCCACCACATGGGACGCCCAAGCTTCCTTAGCTCCGACTGACCCCACGACACCCAAGTGCGTGCGTGGCAAGAACGGTCGGAACACCCACGTTTGTCAGGAACAACAGACTTCCGCCAACCAGGTGGCTACATCTGTCTTGCTCTCCTGACGCCACCGCCACGGTATATATTACGTTTTGTCCCAAGCGGACACCCCATCATGAACAACTATGCCGGCACGATTCCCCTCGTGCAACGAAGTTACCCCGGATCTCCCCAAGCGATTCACCATCTTTCTGGCCATTCCCCCTTTGCATCCGGATACGACGAAAAGACTCGAGAAGCATGACATCTGCCACGTTTTGCCAGTTTTTTGCCATATCGACCGATCGCACCGCATATATCCCATTTAGCTTTTTCTTCCCTGTGATTACTTGCATTCGATCACCTCTGTTTATACTCAGTCTTGTTGTCATAGGGTGTGTTGGGTTTCATGGAGCATCAGAGGTTGTGTTGGTGGCTGTGGATGTCTCTTTTCACGTCTGAGTGGGCGGTTTTGTTTTTCGCGAACCTGGACGAACCGAAAACGAACAAAAAAAGATGTCTTTCCTTGTTGGGGTGGAGCTTGCACCCAACACTAGTGGGAGATAGCCTTGTCTCTTGGCATGGGAACAGGTCGGAGACGAATGAGGTGCAAAAAAAGAATAGTGGAGAGGATGCATGGTCGGCAGGACGCCCATCTCCTTCCCCCGCTTGTCAAGTCGGAGTTTTGATGTGCCCATGAGATCGCTCGTTTCTTTGACAGATTCTCATATACTTGTTATCGCTTTCGCGACGAAAGCAAAGCGTGCGCACACAAAAGACTCTCCGACTGACCGGGAATAGGGGGGCCACACCTCGTCCGCCCTTGTCTTCTTTTCCCCCTGTCAACCTCGTGAGCCGCCTTGCTGGCACGCGTACTCGACAAGACCGGTTACTGGTGGGGACCTGGCAACCTACCTACCTCGCACCGTTCATGCACCGCGGCTTCCTCATGTTGGCTACGGGGATAGCACACGAGGTTTCCGTTATTGGGCGTTGCTAACATCGAAGAGTAGCGAGAAGGCGTTTCATAGACTAAAAAAGAGTGGCGGGCATTTTCTGGCGCAGGGGAAAAGGAGGCAAGGATGGTAAAAAGTGAGGCGCGTTTGCTTTGGTTCGTTGATGATTTACCTTGCTTCTAGCTGTACAAACACAATCGCATCGTTCGGATAAGGAAAAAAAAAAAGGATTGGGGCTGCCCATGGGTCGGATATGGAAGGGAACCGGAGGGGAATTTACAACTAGGACATGTTGTTTTGCATAACGCGGATGATCCTTGGATTCCAACATCGCTTGATGTTTCCCTTCCAGCGTTGAAACAGGAACGACTGGACACTTGTGTCGGTCAGAGCCGAGAAGGCTCGGTGGGCTCGGTGACTGGGCCGAGCTCGCCCATGAACAAGGCGGAACAAACGTGACGCGCCCTAGCAAGGAGGTGGGCTCGAGATCGATGGCACTCTCGGAAGACGCCGGTCGTTTCATGGTGTTTCCGTCGGGTAGCGGCGACGCTTGACAAGGCGTGGTTCTCCCCCTTTTTTTGCTTGCTTTTTGTCGATTTTATTTGTTCTGCCATCTCACGACGCTGATCTCGATGTCGATCCAAAGTCCGTGGCGCGGCCGTGGCCGGGGGACCCACCGCGGAGCGGATCGGGGCGGATCGGGGCGGATCGGGGCGGATCGGGGCGGTTCGCGGACGAGGACATGGGGGGAAGTAGGGTGACCGGTAAAAGAAAAGAGAAAAAGATCAGAGTTGCCCCCTCCTGCGTCTGAGACTCCCCCTCCGTCATCGGGTCCGGGAAGCCCCAACAAAGTCTCCGTGCCGTAGCGATGCCATTGGTTTACTGCCGTTTTGGAAGTCAGTGCGGCCCGCACTATCAGGTGACAGATGATCCGTCGCCCGACCAGCCAGCCCGTAGCCTCCTCTGGTCCTCCCTCCTGCTCCAACTTGCTGGGCCGCGGGAGTGTTTGTTGCTGCATAGCCATCGACAGGGCCGCCGTCGGTCGATTTCGTCCGCTTCGTTGGTGATCGGGTAGAGTCGTTGGTCTTGTGAAGAGGGAACATGGGCGCACCAGATAGGGGTTGCGTCGGGACGGGGCGGTGAGGGAGAGGCTGGAACCAATCGAGGGTTGAAGGACGAAACGAGCATGCGGGAAAGCAAGACGATGCATAGTAGACGTGTCTTATACCGGTTTCCCGTGACCCCTCCGGGCAGCATTGGCGGCCACGCTGCGGCACTTGCATGGCAGCGGATTCCAAGAGCCACGGCGCTGGCAGGCAGGAGGCAGAGGGTATTTGAGCAATGGATCAAGTAGGATGGAACCTGGCTGTTTATAAGCGGAGAGGGGTTGCGGCATTTATCAGAATACAGTGCTGCGTCAGCAACATGTTCAAAGATAACATGGGAGCACTGACATCGAGCCACCTGTGCTCCTTTGCTAGGAAACGGTGGAATGCATGTGGTGCCGTGTTTACCACTCGATCGGACGAGGGACGCCTAGGGCAAGACGGCGCCGAAGCAAAAGCCGACGCAAAATGGGGTTGGTGGGAGCGGGAGTGCAGCAGAGGGAAGAAAAAGCCTTAAAATGGCGCATCCCCATGCCGGATCACAGTCCCTTGCGGGTAGACACTGGGCTTAACCGAATCGTGGGTAGGAAAGCTCGCTAGGGTGGTCTTTGGGGGTTTCATGCCCTTTGCGTAGCTTTGCCAATGGTAGCACATATGCCTCTGGTGGCAGAGAAGAAAGGGAGAATGTAATAAAAGTTATTGACCATTACGTTAGAGCTGACCAATGAGGAGTTATTGTTTGGTGACGAGATGCGGCATTGAAGTTCAGGGCGTGTCGTTGCCGGATTGCTTGTTCATGCAGGAGCCCGGAGGAGACGCAGTTCCTGGGGGTTCGGGCGCTTCTTAGAATACAGAACGTGCCACACCTACGACGGAAAAGATGGTAGTCCTACTTGAACAATAGAAAGGCTACTAGCACTGGGTTTGGGGATTAAAACGAGCCGTTACTGCGGTAGCAACAGGCCTGTTTGGAACGAGAAAAGATAAATGAGGAAAAAGAAAAGAAGGAAGGAAAAGAGGAAGAAAGAGGAAGAACAACAGGAAGAACAATAGGACCAGTAAAACACATCGGCGTTGTCAATTCTAGCCCTCCTGTCATATCCCGAGCGGACCAGCTGGCCGGTTTGATATCAACGACGAAAACGCCAGCAGACTGAGCTGGCCCAGACAAGACTCCTCACCGATGTGGCCGTTGTGTCACTGTGTTTTCCGAGCATCGGAGACAGCGCTTCGACTGTGGTGCAGTACAATCTGAGCCTGTCCTCCTCCAGCTCCCAGCGCCTGGGCTTCACGGGCGGGGCGCGGCATTGCAGGATGCCACGATGCCTGCCGCCTTTTCCTTGTGAGGAAAGCCGCGGATTCAGGGGCTCCCTAGCTCGCAAACTAGAGAGACGGTGAAGCGTCGAGCGGCAAAGTCGGGAGGGACAAAAACGGAACAAGCCGAGTGAGACGGAGCTGCCCAACTCAATAGGTAGAAAATGCTTGTTGTTGACGTCATTGTAGCATGCCGCCTCCGCGGGGCTGCCCGCAGCATGCCTTGCAAGGCCTGCTTAGCCGATTTTTCCGCATCCGACGAGGGAGGAGCGCGGGAATGACGTCAGCGGCGGGCCAGAGCAGCCAGCAGTGGAAGAAATCGGTTGGGGCAGAGAAAAACCCCGACCTACAACGGGCATCGTTTACGTAGGTGGGCGTCGGCAACGCTTAAACTAGGCGTGCAGGTTTTATATTCACTCGTAATTCAGACTGATTTAGAGGCACACGGGAATTGATCGGATGTGTGGCTGGTAAGACAGACGCCAAAGTTGAGAGAAATTTCAAGCAGCTGGGCTTTGCAGCCTCCACTTGGACAGGTCTGGATCCCGCCGTAGGCCGTCAGGGGTGGATCCTCTGCACAGGCTGCTGGGCAAATCGCGACTTTTGTATGGGAGCTGTGTGGATGTCGAACTGCCCGCCCATCGGCCAGGTAGTTGGGAAGCTGGAAGCAGCTTGGGCTGGCTGGGTACACCTGGATCTGGTGTTCCACGAGAGGCTGTTGGAGAGGACGACGTAAAAAAAAATGGACTGGATGGATTACCAACCGTCCGGCCGTCATGTTGCCGCCTCGGATGCGCCCTTCGTTTCGACTCTCTGGCTAAACCGGGCCAATGAAAACTGCGGGGTCAATCGTGCTTTCCCGCGCTGAACCAGATCAGGGGCTTTGAGCCGTCTTGTGCAGGGGCGACCCTGCTGCAGTGGTACCCACCTGACGTTTCCTGACCGGACATTTCCTCCGGTCGGCAGACTTTGGCCACCACACACGCGTCGACTTTCCAGTGTCATTTCATCTGCCATTCCCTGTGCCATTCCCGCAATTGCATTCTAAAACTCCATACTTGCTAGTCCAAGCGCCTACGCTCTACCAGACGCATTGGCTTCGGACGAAATCAAATTTGCGGGATTGTCAGTGGGCGAGCAGGGTTGCATGGAGGCGTCTATGGCTTGTCGTTGCCATTTGCGGTGGCAAAGTCTAGTTTGTTGAGCCGCTCGCCTCGCCTCGCTGGCACGCCTTGCTCTTAGAGCTCCTGTCAGAGAGCTCCCAGCCCAGCTCCAGGCAGCCTTGATCCAAACATGAAGGTCATCTTGGCCTGATATTCGCCACCGAAAATCACAGTCGGCTTGCTGGAGGTGCCGTGATGCTGTAGGGCGGGTGACGATTGTGGATTCCCAGTGCGCGCCAGGGCGATTGGAGGTGGCGGCGGCACCCGGCCACGGCCAAGTGCAGGCTTGCTTCCAGCAGCCTTCCTGCTGCTTGTCCTTAGTCTCAGCCCTCCGGCGGGCGCCCATGCTGAGGGGAAATGCAAAAATTCCCCGTTTCCCTGGCACCACTTTACCCACCCCCGGCTGGCGCCACCTCTGGCGTACACCCAAAAGCAGGAGTCGAGAGCACAGCACTACAGCAAGAAAAACACAACATTGCCCCCTCGTCCTCCCGCCTAACATCGCCATGCCCGACGAGAGACCTGTCCTGACTCCTGCCGTCGTGTTTCGCCACCCGCCCTTCTGAGAGGCTGCTGCTGCTTGGGATTCTGCCCACTCGCTGTCGCGGCTGCCGCTCCCTTCCCCTCTGGGCCTAAGTGATCGGCGCAGGCCGGACGAGCAGCCTGTATTTGCCCGCCCCAAAAGTCGTGCGCCCGCGCTCCCTCGCTCTCTGTCGCCCTGTCCCCTGGACCAAACCCGACCCGCACGTGCTGGTGGCCCGAACAATAAACCTGCTGGACTTCGACCCGGCCGCTTGCCCTTCCCTTCGCCAGCTCCCGCCGCCGAGCGAGAGCCCTCGACCGATCCCCACCCTTACTATTCCGTCCGAGATCGCGCCAGCACTGCGAGATCGAGCGGCCGGCGCGCATGCGCACCCAAAACACCTCCCCTACTCCCCACACCCAAGGCCTTCCCAAAGTCTCGGTGCACAAAGCTTCACCCATTTGCCAGTCGCGATATCCCCCATAAATCCATAATCCTCCTTTGCTGGCCCAGGCCCCCGGCGTCGCCCATGGACTCGGGTCAGGAGGCCCAGGGGCTCCCTGAGCAGCCACCACCCTCTACCGACCCCCCACCTTGTCCCGAGGACTCCCAGGCCGTGCCCGACCCCGACATCACGGACGGCTTGCTTCCGTTGCCGTCGCCATCCCCTGCCGAATCGACAGACACTGGCACCAACACTGCTGCTGGGTCAGAGATTAGCAGTCCGACACCGACGCAGGGCGATCCTTTTGCTCCTGCCCTCGGCCCGAACGCCACACCCGGTTCCTCGTCATGGAGCTCCAACTCGGACCTCCAGCTGGGCCACGGCTCCTCGCAGGAGATAGTTGACCGTGCCGATCACGTATTTCCTATACGGTCCGTGTTGACCGTTGAACCCAGCGAGCATTCAGACTATTTTCAGCACGCCTTTCCAGAACAGTCGTCCCAGTCGCCCCGGGCGAGCAGCGTTGGGTCGCTAGACTTGGCGACGGGCGCGAGACGGGCTGGGGCCAGATCTGGGAGCCAGGCGAGCGGGCCTAGCATGTCCACGATCAAATCCCCGATAGAACGAGGGGACCGTTATGGACCGAGGAGACGTCACAACACGCTCCATGGATCTGTGTCCAGCGGGAATGCGGAATCGTCGGGGCGGATGGGCAACTCTGTTGGGCCCCTGCCGATCTTTGCAGATAATGGCTCGGACGAGGATGAGGATGAGGAGGAGAAGGACGGCGAGGAGCGGTCGGGGGCGCCTGCCGCACACTCACTCGACAACGCCTCCACCACAGAATCTATCGGGATGACCACGATCAGGTTCGAACATGTGATGACTGAGGATGGGCACGCCGTCATTACCGGACGCCAAGGGACCCTCCAGCGGTGCGAGGACGAGCCGATCCATGCGCCCGGGGCGGTTCAGGGATTCGGGGCTATTATAGCCATAGTTGAGGACGCCGAGGGGAACTACCTGGTTCGATATGCCAGCGAAAATACGGAGCGCATCGTCGGGTACAGCCCTCAGAAGCTGTTCCGCCTCGGCAATTTCCTGGACATCTTTAGCGAAGAGCAAGCTGAAAATTTGCTTGACCATATCGATTTCATCCAAGATGAGGAGGCTGACCCCGGAATCAACGGGCCAGAGGTGTTCAGTGTATCGATGCGGTCGCCGCAGCAGCCCAGGTCGAGGGCGGTCAAGCTGTGGTGCGCTATTCACGTCAATCCGACCAGGCCAGATCTGACGGTCTGCGAGTTCGAGCTCGACGATGATCAGGTCAACCCTCTTCGGCCACCTGGCGAGGCCACTCCGGAACTTCCTGAGGACACGCTGCATTCGAACCCCACGGCTGAGGAGCTCGCAGAGAGTACCGAGGTTTTGAGTCGGCCGCTCCGGGTGCTCCGGAGTGCCCGCAAGCGACGTGGCGAAGCTGGTGCCATGCAGGTCTTCGACATCATGTCGCAGGTGCAGGAGCAGCTCGCCTCGGCTGCAAACCTCGCAACCTTTCTCAAGATCTTGGTTGGCATCGTCAAGGAGCTGACGGGCTTCCACCGCGTCATGATTTACCAGTTCGACTCGAGCTTCAACGGCCGGGTCGTTACGGAGCTTGTGGACACGGCGCAAACCCGAGATCTGTTCAAGGGGCTGCACTTCCCCGCATCCGATATTCCCAAACAAGCGCGCGAACTCTACAAGATCAACAAGGTTCGCCTTCTCTACGATCGAGACCAGCCAACCGCGCGGCTCGTGTGCCGCACAGCAGAGGACCTCGAGCAGCCGCTCGATCTGACCCACTCTTATCTCCGCGCCATGTCGCCCATCCATCTTAAGTACCTTGGAAACATGGCGGTTCGATCATCCATGTCCATCTCTATCAACGCATTCGACGAGCTGTGGGGGCTGATAGCGTGCCACTCCTACGGCAAAAGGGGAATGCGGGTTTCTTTTCCCATCAGGAAGATGTGCCGACTAGTCGGGGACACGGCGTCCAGGAACATTGAGCGGCTGTCGTATGCGTCGCGACTCCAGGCACGGAAGCTGATCAATACAGTACCCACCGACAAGAATCCGTCTGGCTACATTATCGCGTCGTCTGACGACTTGCTGCGCCTTTTCGACGCCGACTTTGGCGCTCTGTCCATCCGCGGCGAGACCAAAATCCTGGGCAAGCCCGAGCAGTCCCAGGAGATCCTCGTTATACTCGAGTACTTCAGAGTTAAGAAGTTCAACTCGGTTCTCACGACTCAAGACGTATGCGTGGACTTTGCCGACCTCCGCTATCCTCACGGGTTCAGCGTCATTGCAGGCGCCCTCTACGTCCCACTCAGCACTGGCGGAAACGACTTCATCGTGTTTTTCCGTCGGGGTCAGGTTCACGAGGTCAAGTGGGCGGGTAACCCATACCAAAAGTTATCCAACACCAAGGGCCATCTGCAGCCCCGGAAAAGCTTCAAGGTCTGGAACGAGACCATTATGGGCAAGTCTCGCGAGTGGTCAGAGGAGCAGGTCGAGACGGCCGCGGTGCTGTGTCTGGTATATGGTAAGCCATGCTTGCTCCCGACAACGACACAGGCGCAAAACAAAGGATTCAGCTAACGGCGTACACAGGCAAATTTATCGAGGTTTGGAGACAGAAGGAAGCAGCGTTGCAGAGCAGCAAACTGACGAGATTACTGCTGGCCAACTCGGCGCATGAAGTCCGCACTCCTCTCAACGCCATAATCAACTACCTCGAGATCGCCATGGAGGGCACGCTCGATCAAGAGACGCGGGAAAATCTGACCAAGTCGCACTCTGCATCCAAATCATTAATCTACGTCATCAACGACTTGCTCGACCTCACCAAAGCCGAAGAAGGGCAGGAACTAATAAAGGACGAGATATTTGACCTCCCTGCCTGTATCCGCGAGGCCACGGAGCCTTTCGTGTCAGATGCCAGGAGAAAGAATATCAGCTACGAAGTTTTTGAGCACCCAGGCCTGCCGCGGGCCGTCTACGGGGACCAGGGAAAGGTTAGGCAGGCGGTCGCCAACGTCACTGCCAATGCGGTACAGCACACAACGGAGGGCTCCATCAGGATCGAGGCCTATGTGTCTGAGATACTCCAGAGCAGGGTGCAGGTAGAGATTGTGGTGGAAGACACTGGGTCCGGACTGGCCGCTGCGCAGCTGGACGCCCTGTTCCGCGAACTGGAGCAGGTCAGCGCCGATGCCGACCACCCTGGATTGTCACCTTCTGTTGAGGCGCCGGGCTCGGGGATGAAGGCGCCGCGGACGCTTGGTCTCGGCTTGGCGGTGGTGGCAAGGATAGTTCGGAATATGGACGGTCAACTACGACTGAAGTCGGACCCTGGCAAGGGCTCGCGATTTGTGATCCAGCTGCCCTTTGATCTTCCGCTGGACGACTCGCCCGAGTCGCAGGACGGCGGCAGCAGCGCCGCGCTGCACTCAAAGGCGGGGTCCATCGTCTCTGCCGCCGGCACTACTCGTGTGGACGGAGAGGTGACACTGGTCGACTCGGCTAGCGGCACGATGGCGTCGACTACCGGAGGCATGTCACCAAAGAAGGGCATCGAGGACGCCGCCAGCATCGTCAGTAGGAACAGTGCCAACAGCAGGGGCAGCGGTAACAGTGCTGCTAGCGACGCGGATCGGCTGATTGACGCCATTCAGCTTCCTCTGGCTGTGGGGGCGCCCGAGTCGAAGCGGGTGGGCTTGCAGCGACAGAACTCGAAGGGCGCGTATTACCATCCTGGCGCCATGATCAGTAGCCCTGGCCGTTCTGTCAGCCCCGTCACGCCGCGTCGGTCTGGGAGTTTCACTCGGACCAGTTGTCCGGCCAGTCCCAGGCCCCCTGAGGGCGCGGGCGAGCTAAGCGGCACGGGTGTGCAGTTTGTGACGGACAGCAAAACCCCCATGAAGCCTGTCAAGATGCCCGATAGCGACGAGTACAGAGACAACCCCGAGTTGCCCCAGGTGGGCCAGTCTTCAGGTGTACTGTTTGAAGTGGGCGAGACACCGGGGAAACGCTTGCCGTCGGCACGCCGACGTGCTGGCGACCAGGGTTGTACAAGCACCAGGGCCGATGCTGTGTCAGAACCCACAAGCGGCGGCCTGCAAGTTCTGTGCGCCGAAGACGACCCTATAAACATGAAACTCCTGCGAAAGCGGCTAGAAAAGGCCGGTCATGCAGTCTTCCATACGGTGAACGGCGCAGACTGTGCCTCTGTCTACAAGGAAAAGCCGGGGCAGTACGATGTCGTCCTAATGGACATGCAGGCATGTTCCCTCCTCGAACCTGCTCAATCTACACGCACGTTTCCCAGTGCTAGCTCGCTAGGACGTGTATCAAAAAAAAAAATACTGACCAAGAACCACTGCCTCCAGATGCCCATTGTGGACGGCCTCGACAGCACAAAAATGATCCGCGCGTTTGAAGAATCGGTCGCGCATGTCGGCCTTTCCGAAGCGGCGGCCAAAGTTGGGCACATTCCAATTTTTGCTGTGTCGGCGTCGTTGCTCGAGGCACAGAAAGAAACGTACGTCGGTGCTGGGTTCGATGGTTGGATTCTCAAGCCTATCGACTTCAAGCGACTTGAGAGGTTGCTTGCCGGCATCAACGATGTCGCTGTGAGGCGTGACTGCTTCTACGAGCAGGGGCACTGGGAGCGAGGCGGCTGGTTCGACAAAACCTCGGACCAGCAGGCCCAACCATGCCACGCGGGGGAGGCTTCGAGCTAGCTGCGGCCTCCTCTCCGCCGCCATGCGAGTGCAGCCGCCCCACCAGCCTATTCCCGGCATCGCAGGGCAACTAGTTATCGCGAGATGTGATTCTCGTCGTATCCCCAGCCCGCAAGCGCTGACGCAACATGCGGGTCGAAACGTGCCTTTGCTGTTGCTGTCCGTTTCCAAGCCGTCTGGCGAATGCGACACGCCGGCCTCCATGTTTCCGTTTGCTCTCCCATCCCCATAGCCCTTGTGCGAAAACCGACTCCTCATGACCCCTGGGTTTTCTTCTCGACTCATGTCTTTTGTGTACTTTTTGGCTTCACTTGGATGGATACAATAATGGTCTGGATCACCTCGATATAGAAAACAGGAAGGGCCGGGTTCCGATGGGAAGACAGGATGATGAGTCTCAGACACATGCGGTTTTTGCTTTCGGCGTACACGATGATACCCCGGTTTCTTTCTCCTGTCTCGAACCTATATCCGTTCTACTCGTTGTTCTCATGCTTTATTCCAACACCAGGCAACGGTTTGGAAAAAAACGGCCATGGAAGGTATTGCGAGGCGTTACAAAGGGTCAACTTTCTGTTGCATTTTTTTCTTCTGTTTCCTTCATGTATTTCTTACGGAGCAACACTGTTTACTGTGGGCGGTTGGGAGGACTGGACTCGGCAAAGTACACGGATTGTTGTAACAAATGGGACAGGCACGTTTTCGGGTTCTCCCCACCTCCTCCAACTCTCCTATACTCTACTTATTCCTGGGTGATTACGACGTGGTGAACCTGGGGAAAGGGCTTGTTTTGGGTTTCCATGGCGTTGATTTTAGCAGTCGGGCATGTCAGCGGTGACTATGACAAGAACACCTAGAAATACGTAGAAGAAATGTGAGACAACAAAGATTCCGGGAGGATCATCAATGCAAAATAAAAGTGTACGACAACTAGGGATTGTTCTATAGAGGCACATTTGCATAATGTGGTCAAAACAACGACAGCAACACCGCCATGCCCGCAGTCGCCATGGCCAGCCCCGAGACCCTCCGCCCCGGGCCTGCCGCCGCCCCCTCCTCATCGACGGCCAAGGCGGCGGCGTTGACGCGCATGCACAGCACCGCGGGCTGCATGTTCGCGGGCCGGACGGGCCCGCCGGGGAGGCCGGCGCGCGCGCGCGTGGCGTCGAGCACGAGCACGCGCAGCTGCGTCGCCACGTCGTCGTAGACGCCGCCGCCCGCGGCCACCGCCCCGCCGCCAAACGCCGCGGTGGCGGCCAAGAGGAAGGCGGCGCCGCTGCGCAGGCGCCGGCGCTCCGTCGCGTTGACGGGGTTCAAGTCAATGGTCTGCAAGTCGGACTGGCCGCCCCGGGCCTCCGCCTCTCTCGACGGCCGCCACGATGACACTTGCGGGAACACGTGCGCGCACGCCGGCAGCTGGCCCCCACTCCGTCCGGGGCCGGCGGCAGCGCGTCCGTGAGGAGGAGGAGGAGGAGGAGGAGGGAGGGGGAGGAGGCGCGCGGCGAGGAGGCCATGAGGGCCTGGAGGCAGTCGGTGCCGATGACGGAGGCGCAGTGGACGACGCCCATGTCGTCGGGCCCGAGGAGGTTGCTGGCGTTGGGCCGCATGTCGTTGCCCGTCAGGGCGGTGGCGCACAGCGGACCTGCGGGCGGCATCGCCGTCGTCGAGTTATCGCCGCCGCCACCGCCGTCGAGGGCTGCGGAAATGTCGCCGCCGCCGGGCCACGAGAGGTCGAAGGAGGTGACAACAACGTGCGGATCCGAGACGGCGGTGCGGTTGAAGCCCTGGCGTGGGGGGTTGGCCCTTGAGGGCGACTTTGCTGACGTTGACTCATTTTTTTGTTGTTTTGCGTGTTAATGGCCGGGGAGAGAGTAGAGAGAAACAAGAAGAAAAAGAAAAAGAAAAAGGTGGTCCGGATGTGGGAGCTCACTCCATGTCCACTCCACCTGCGACAGGTTCGCCGACGGCCTGCCACCGGCCCCGTCGTACCACTCAAACGGCTTAAAGGCGAGCGATCGGCTGGCGTCGGGGTTGCCGATGCCGTCCAGCAGTTCCCTGGCGGTTCCGTTATTGCGAATAATCTCACGCAGGTCCGGCGACGGCCCCAGAATGTGCAGGTCGCTGTCGAACTGGGCCGCCACGCCGGCGGCGCCAGCGAGGGCTTCGAGCAGGTGGCGCATTTTGTGCCGAGTACCTACCTACCTACCTAGGTAGGTATTGAGCTTATACCAAAGTTTTCCCAGGGGAGACAATGTCAGGGCAGTCGACGGGGTGTGGCGTGGCCGCGACGAGGAGGTGCAAATTGCGATTGATGCTTTGAGAGATAGTGAGAGGTAGATAAAAATGCTCAGTTTGTGCTACCCAACTGTTTAGGCTGCGGGCTGGCTGTGACGAACAAGGGCGGTGGCCTCTCATCGCGGACGGGCATGCAGGACTTCATCGCCAAGTCGACTGACAGCCTTGATCGCAACCGCGTCAACGCAGTCCGTTGGTTCGTCGCTCTCCTGGAAGGATCTCAAACACAGGGGGGTTACCTACGTGTGTTTACATGCCCGTTTGGGCCCGCGATCGGCAGCTTGGCGGGAAGGAGCCGAGTCCGACTTCTCAGTTTGTTGGACGTGCCCTATGTGCCTGCCACGCCCACCGCGAACAAGATGGCAGTCCCTCCTGAGCAACAGAATAGCTACTAGACTGGAAGACGAGCAGGAGTAGGAATAAAATCAGGATAACGACAGGAATAACAATAAGAATAATAACAGGAATAGAAATGAGAAGAAAATATGAATAAGAAGGCTTATAGCATTTACAGCTCTAACTCCTTGGGCTTGTAAAACTGCTTTGTTTTTTGCCGTGTGTGGTGGGCGTGCCTGCGTATCATCTCACCAACTGAACCCGGTGTCCGCTCCATGTTTTCCCTTTCCGATATGCTCGTACTCAGCAGTCACCCACCGAACCCGGCACTTCGGGAACCGGACCTGGAGGACGGCAGCTACAATAACGCGCATAGTTCAGAGGACTTAATAGGCGGCGCCGGCGAGGGCTGCGGGCAGGTGACGCATTGTGTGCCGAGTACCTATCTGACGCAAGCCGTTTACGCTTGTCGCGTTAGATCGACATCCAAAATGTGCTCGCCGCTCTGCACCGCGGGCCCGTCGGGCGACGGCCACTTGTAGATCATTTAGAAGCAGTTTTGTCCGCAGTAAAAGCGCCGTGGCAATCTTTGCCAGCCTTCTTGTGGTCGCAGCAGTAAACGTACTTGTGCGACTTGGAATCTCAAAGAAAAATAAGCATTAGTTAAGGCCACAAAGATGCCACGTAAAAGGAGAGAATGGGGCGTGAATAAAAAGCACAAAAGGAAGTCGCAATAAAGTTCTCGGTTCCAGGCAAGAGCGACCTGCCTACCGCACGAGATGGTGTGCAAGCGGGCCCACCACAACGGGTGAAAACGGGGGCGCGGCCAGGGGGTGTTGCCACTCCTCGCCTCGCAAGCGTGCAGGCTGTGCTCCTCCTCCTCCTCCGTGGTGGTGAGGAGCTTATAGTTTGTACGCGCGACGGAGGCGCGGCATAGACTGGCCGTACTCGGCCTGAATTCGGTCTCACAAGACTTGCTGCCAACACCACTGCCGCGCTGAGGTGGACAGCGGACCCAAAATATTTATGCAAAAATTACTCGACTACACGCCACGCGGCAGGCCGTTTTGACGTGTCGTTGGCATAAATGGCCTCTGAAGCAGTCAATAGGGCTCGTTGGTAGAACAAACTCGTTCCACTACCTAGTATTCTACATGTAGCTAGAGCAAAAGCCGCAGCAGCGTCCTATGCCCCACCAAGCGCATTGAGATATCCAGACCGCAGCATCGGCCGCGGGTCGAACCCGAGGTTCTCGTAGTTTTCCGCCGGGCCCCGCAGCCTGCCGGGCAGCGTGCGGTCCCGCCCGGCACTATAACCGTCCGGCGCGGCCGCCTCCACCTCGGGCGCGCCGCCAGAGCCGTCGCCGTTGCTCACGGCATTTTCGCTCTTGCCGTTGCCGCCGCTGTTCATAATGGCCGCGGCCGCCGACGCCGTCGCGGCGAGGCCCGTCTTGGTAGCGGCCGCGAGGTCGGCGAGTCGCTTCAGGCTCTGGCTGGCCGTGGCCTCGATGCTAGTCGACGCCGACGCCGACGAGGCCGGCCGGGAGGCGCCGGCCTCCATGGCCGCCATCTTCTCGCGGATGACATTGTCCCACGTCGACGGGGCCGTGTTGCCGCCCATGAGCTCGTTGGCCATCAGGTCGCGCGCCTCCTCGCGCGTCTTGGGCACCCGGGCCAGCTCGGCGAGGCACAGGCCGGCCAGGGCGACGACGTTGTGGTTCAGCGGGCTGAGCGCTACGTGGCTGGCCGTCAGGTCGTCCAGCAGGCCCTTGGCCGCCCACAGCAGCTCCGTCGACTGCGACGACGGCGTGAAGAGGTAGGAGAGCAGCCGGCAGTGCCAGTAGGCAAAGTGCAGCACCGGGTGCGACTTGGGTGTGATGCTGGCCGGGAAGTCCATGCGCCACATCTCGATGCCGACGGCGAGCGACTGGCTCAGCACCAGCTGGCTGGCCCCCGGCACCATGGTCAGCGGCCGTGCCGACGTAAGGAACGCCTCGACGTAGTGGCCCAGCACGAAACACAGCTTCACGAACTGGTATCCTGCCTCGCCCAGCAGGTTCCGAAGTCCGGGCCCGACATGTATGCTGCCCTGCGGGACCAGCAGCCCCTGTGCCGTCCCTACGGCGTTGAACCGGTCCAGTGCTACAAGACTCCACCACGCCCGGAGCGCAACCATGTCTTCCGACTCGGGGTCCGAATCAGGCTCCGGCCAGCCGTCCTCCATGACCTGCGCGGTCCGCAACCCCATGGCGTATGCCACTGCCACGGCGCGCCCGAGGTAGCTGGTCTTGGACGGGCTCCCGTGCTGCCCGCGCAGCGCTGCGGGCCCGTGGTTGTCCGCCTCGATGGCCAGTAGCAGCAGACTCTGCAGGTGCACCAGGTCGGCCATGGACGAGCCCTGAGACCCACCGTTAGACTCCCACTCGGACAGTAAACGATTGGCTGCCTTTGCGTCGCCTGCAGCAACCCCGGCCGGCATGGCATGGAATGAATGCATAGTCGACACTAGAGCTTCGTGGAAGGCCTTCTGCAGCACAGGTGGACACTGTCCCAGGTTGGACTGCACAACCGTCTTTACGCTTGCCAAGAGCGGGAATGTGGGGTGAACGATGGTGAGATACCTGCATGTCGTGTTAGTCTGGCCGCCCGAGAGGTCAACTACATGCGCTTACCTACCCGTGGAAGACGTTGTCGTCAATATCACGACATGTGCCGTTAGGTATCGCATCGATAGAGGCCCGAGTGTCGGCTACAGCAGGCGCTGGGGTCTCGACGTGAATGGGTGGTGGTCTTGACGGGGTTTGTGCTTCTAAGACTGGTGCTGGAGCCGGGGCCGGTGCCGGGGCAGGGACAAGCCTTGGGGCCAAATTATTCACCGAGTAGGGAGGCTTCTGTCCTGGTGTGGCCGGTGCTGGGTAGGGATGGATTGGCCGCGGCTCCGTCGGCCAGTTCGCAGCAGCGGCAGACTTGCTTGAAACTGGCGTGTTGAAGGTGGTTGCTTCTGCCGACATGCTTGAGAACGGCCGCTTGGCGTTTTCATTTAAAGGAGCCGAAGGCGAGGGGGAGAATGTATCCGACGACTCTCGCCTTGGTGCGCCCGCCAGCTGTTCCATAAACTCGCCCGCCAAGGCTTGGTTCCCCAGCTTCCCCTCGATCGAGTTGATTCTGTCTGCAAGCTCTTTGATGTACCCCTTACTGGGTCCGCGCTTCTGCGGTATTCGGCTGAAATCACATCGAATCTGCGAGCGCCTGCAGTTTGTGCACGCCACCTCACCAGTCTCGGAAATCGAGTCGCATTTTACTTTTTTGCGCCGACACGCGTCGCAGGCCCGAGAAACCTTTGAGCGCTTCCTGGGCGGTATGCCGTTGTCATGCGGCGCTCCTCCATAAGCCATCTGTAGATGCGGGGGGAGCTGCATCTGCGGCTGTTGTACAGGGTCATAGTGCGGCCCAGGTTGTTGTGCCTGGGGTAGCGGACGAGGAGGCTGCAATGGGTGCTGTCGGGGCGGTTGCTGTGGTGGCTGCTGTACTAGGGGTTGTTGTGCTAGGGGCTGCTGTGCCAGGGGCTGCTGCGTTTGCTGTTGAGGAAAATGCTGAGACTGGTGAGCAGCGGGTGGTGGAGGCGGAGGCGGATGAGGCTGTTGCTGCTGTCGCTGCTGTACTGACTCTGACACAGGCGCTGGGTGGTGCAGTTCCTGCAGAGGTGGCTGTGGTCCTGGCGATACATAGGGGTTTGGAAGCCCAGACTGCAGGTTCTGGTCATGATGATCTAGCCCCCGACCCCCTTCCGGTGATAGTGGCAGGCCGTGGTGGTCCATCGTAGGAGCCTGGCTATGCAGGCTTGTTCCGTCGTTCGCCAGGTCCGAACCATCCATTTGAACGTCCTGTGTTTCCGGATGCTGATCGCTTTCGGTAGATTCGACATGGTTCGCTACGGGTCCGTTATGCATCTCCGTCGGTTGTTCGTGGTTCTCGGTCATGGGCATCGAATCCTCGGGTGACGAAGCGCGGTTGTCAGACACGGAGACGTTGTTCTCGTTCACAAGAGTTTCGGCGTCGGGGACGGGGCCTCGCAGTTCGGGCTGTGCCTGATCAATAACGTCGATATGTGGGGGGCCCTCGTGATTATGGATTGCATGGTTCTCGTGGTCGTGGTTCGCAACGGCAACGGTCTCGGCGCTGACCTGGGTCGTTGGATTCGGGGCGTCGTGGGGCAGCAAGGGCTCGTGGCTCCGGTCGTGGCCGGCCATGGCCGCGGCCTCCTGCGCCGCGGCAGCGGCAGCCATCATGGGGGCGAGGCTATCGCTCAGGCGCGCGGCGAGCTGCAGCTCGTCGCTGTCGTCGCCGCCCACCGACGGCCGAGATTCCCCTGCGGCGGGGGAGAGGGGTGCCTCGTTTTTCAGCTGCGGAGAATCCATCGCTGTCGTCGCCGGCGGGGGCAGCGGCGCGTCGAGCTGCAGGTGGTGGACGGCCAGGCTGCCGCTATCGTCATAGTAGCCCGCGATGCCCTGGCCGTCGGCTGCCGGAGAGGGGTACTGCTGCAGTAAGAGGCCCTCGGCGTCGTCGGGCGGCGCCGGCTTGTCCATCGAAAGACCGGGCAGCGGCGGGGGCCAACAGCATCAGGTTCGTACCTGGGACCTCCTGGGCGTCAAGGCGGGGGGCCGAGTGGTGCAGGCGCGTGCGAGTCCCCTGCGAGGCGACGGCTGCCAATGCAGGAGGCGTGTGGGTGGATTCCCACAGCGACGCTTTCCTCCTCTTCGTCCCTCCCCCTCTGTGAGCGGCACCAATACACCCAGTCGTTGCGACAATGCGCAGAGCGCCAGTCTAGCTGTGACGGTCGTCGGCCAATCGCGTCGGTTCGGGAGAGAGAGCCGGCCGGGGTCCTCTGCAGAGCCATGGCATCAGTACATGACATGGGGAAGGGAAGCAGTTCTGCTTGGGTGCGCTTCTCGCAATGCTGTGAAACCAATTGATTGTCTTCTGTTTGCTAATTAACAAAACCCGACCGCCGCGCACAGAAAGAAACCACGGCGATGCGACGCCGCCAGCGCCAGGGCAATCTGGAGAGCATAGCATCCATAGCAGAATTGCCGGCAAAAGGGGTTTGCGCGGGGGGAGGGGAAAAGGCGAAGGACGAAATGGCGGTTGAGGTGTGTTCAAGCGAGAGAAAAAGGCACACGTACCTTCTGACCAGGACGATGGTAGTCCGATGGAACAAATCCGTCCGTCCTGGGCTTTTTCACGGAATAGGAAGAACCAGCCAGCCGAGAGGGAGGTGTCGTTTTTTTTTTCCTGCCGCGGCCGCGTCGAGCTCTGACTGGAAGCTCGAAAGCCAAGCCAATCCAATACGCATTTATCCGAAGATGGTCCGACCATTGGGTCAAGCCTTGGGATCTTCACAGGGGTGTGTGCTTAGCTAATGCGACTGCTGTTTCTGGGGACGGATTGCCTCCAAGGTCATTTAGCCGAGCGCCTCTTCACACAGGCGAGCTTCTGTCGGCTCCGGCGGCTTCTTCAAGTGTGTCCGAGCCCGGCTTTTCCGACAGGAGGCGCGCTGCTGGACTGGATCTCCTGGGCCGCTGCATTCCAGGCCTGTTTGGCTCCTCCGCGGCGTCGGCTGCGTCGGATGTCGTGCAACATGCGGCCAAGCTCGATCGATTCTCCGCATCCCCTCCCGTGTAACGCGTGGCGGGTGCTGGAAAGAGGCAGCCGTCAAACACACACGTGTTTCTTTGTGTCTGCTCAACACAGGCGAGCGCACGCCGTCGTCTTCTTATGGACTGAGTGGGAAGGCCTGCGATCGACTCTCCCACACCAGCATCGAACACCCGCCTCGCCCCAGTGTGTTGGACAGGCGAAAAGGAGGGTCGACTCCGCCATCCGGATGCGGGATGGCACTTAGACTCTCCTCACCTCTGCGAGACGAGCCCCCCCGCTCCTGATCACCTTCGCCGGCAGACGCTCGCCTTGCTTTTTCCCCCATGTATTGCGTGACCCAAGACCAACATGATAATTCCTCCTCAACCCTCTTTGCCGAACCATGACCTGCCGTGTCCTGGTCTTTGGGTATCATCAGCGAACCTACCGTTTGAGTATTTTTCAACTTAAACTCGTTGTGCTTGAAATACGTTCCAACCAACTTGCCACCGCCAGCACATGCTCCCCTTTGCACAAAAAAAACAACAACCAATCAGCAAGACCGGGACCGATGGGTTCTTACTACTAGTAGACCATCCATTCACACCCACCTAGTCTCAAAACCCACCTACCTGGGAAGCTCCGTGGGGTTGTTACCCTGCTCTTGGAGAGGATGTTCATGGCGTTAGATCCCACATGTCACACACAGAGTGCTTTGAGCTAGGATGCTCTCCCGCTAGTACAATCGCCGACCACCGCGCATGGTCCTGTATCTTGCCGACGCCCCCACTATGGCTGGTGGTTGCCGGCCGTGGTCACGCGTCATGCAGCTCATGTAGTTTGCTCTCTCCGGGTCTTGGCGCCACGGATGTCCCTCCGACGCGGCACTTGGCCGTTGGAACATCTTTCTCCCTTGGTGGGCGACCACATCCGATGTCGCACCAGAGATCCGGTGCAACATAAGGACACCCTCATCCCTTCGAATCTAGGCGCTCGCTCTTTCTCGAATTGGCTGCTGCTCTGGAAGCAGTACGGCGAGCAAATCCAGTGTTGAGTATCAGGAGGCACTTAGATAGATAAGAGTCGCCCATGTGGCAGATACTGAAACACGCTTCGTTTAGCCGCAAGCGCTACCGTAAAAACGTTGCCTCTCGCCGGACCGGCATCTGGAATGGGATGCTGAAACTTGCGATCTGGGTCTTGGCGAGGGGGACCACCCATGCATTGACATGCACCTTTGACAGCTGGTTTGCTCCCTATGCTGCGGACTGCTGGCTCCGGAGTCATTACGTCCACACATATGATCCAGCCAACCGATTCCTCCCCGCGCTCGGCAGCTTCTGGTAAGAAACGGGCCACAGACTACCGGAGCCCACGAGGAGCCCGCCATGGGGGGGAAATCCTTTGAATAACCAGCCGAAAATTCGGCGTTTGAGATGTCTTAAAAAAAAAACCAAGCGAACGAGCGTTCGAAGTTGGGGGCAGCGCGGGTTGAGGCCCAGGGCATTGTCCTGTGAGCGGAACCAGACCGTCCTCAACTCCGGTTGCGGGAAGACTCCGAGCAGATATCTCCCCGCAGACGAACAGCGGCCAGTACATTCCCAAGCTGCCGGTCGGAGCTGTCAGGATTGATGTGGTGTGGAGGGTCAACCCGGTCGTTCAAAGGATCGACAACAGATCTGCATGCCGGGGGTCGGTACATACCCCCGCGCTTCACACCACTCCAGGGTTCCAGGGTGAGCTTCTTTGGAGCTAAGCTCTCCTCACAGCTCCCCTGCCCCCTTCCTGATGGCTGGCCTCAAAGCCTCACCACTCGAGGTTGGTGCGCGATAAAACTTTGGTGATTGTTCATGGATAGCCAACAGACAGTCGCAGCCGGAAGAATTGGCCGTTGTTTGTTTGAGGTAGGATGTAACGGCACGGGAATACATTTCCTCCAATAACGAAGAAAGACGTCCCATCTCGATATCGCGTCTCTCCACTGCGACGATCTTCTTACCCCGGGTTTTGATGTCTTAGCCCAGTTTCCAACCTAATTCGAGATGCCGAGTGTTGAACCAGTAAACGGGCCCCCAAGCTCCGGGCCTTGGTTTTCACCATGGCTCATCAGAATTCCTTGTGTGGATTGGATCCCTAGGTGGTTTTAGGGAGGCGCTTTTTGTAGCTCGTCTGGTTCTCCTCGACCACCAGCCTCACTTTCTTGTCTTCGCTTCTCCCAGAACCCCTTGCCGTAGCTAACCAATATCTCCTCCCCTTCGTTGATCCCACGGAGCGGCCCATCTTTTCGCCCACCGCCAGGCCCAGCTCCGCCCCGGGAACCCTTGCCTCTTTTCTGCTGCAGCAGCTGCAGCAGCTCCTGCTGCCTCGCGAGCGCCTTCTTCCCCACCGGCAGCACAAACACCGCCATCGTCCACTCCCCCGCCACGACCGGCAAACGTTCACCCGGCGCCTCGGTCTCCCCGCCGCCGTCCGCGGCCGGAGCCGGCGCGCGGGGCCGCGGCTGCGGCCGCGGGTCCCAGACCTCCCTGAACTCGGCGTTGGCGCGCACCGCGCCGGGCACGCCGCGGTAGTCGTTGACGAAGCGCGCCTCGTTGCCGCACCGCGCCGCGTCCACGGCCACGTCGGCGTCGCGCGATAGCCACAGGTCGTAGTCTGACTCTGCGTAGCTGTACTGCTGCTGTTGCCGCTGCCGGCCCCCGTCGTCCTTCTGCGGTTGCGGCGGCTCGGCCATGATGCCCGGGTGCACCTCGCCCAGGTACGGCAGCACCAGCGCGCCCGGCTCTAGCCGCCGCGCGGCAAAGAGCCCGCGCTGGCCCGCCGCCGGGTGCCGCGGGTCTGTGATGGTACGGATCTCGACGGCGGGGCAGGGCCCGCGGCGCAGACTGCGCGGGATGGTGCTTGGTGCTGTGGTGTTGGGGGCGGCGGCCCGGGCTGGGGGGATGCGGATGGCGGCCAGTTGGGATTCCGTTAGTGCTGGCGAGTGCCGCGGGGTGTAGAGGTAGGGGATGTCTGCTGGCCAATTCTTGGGCAGGATGAGGGTGGGTTTATCAGGGGTCGGGGTCGCCATTGTGCATTTTCCTTGTTTCTGGTGGGAACTGTCGTCTGAAGTGGCCGCTGTAATTGTCCACACAGACCAAAAATGTCGTGCCAGTGTTGAGACCCCAAACACCTGTTGGGACGTTTTTCCGCGATGCAATGACAATCAGTCCGCGGATTTGGCTGTTGAAATCACACTTGCAAAAAGACCTGATGGAAATCCCCATTTCCAGCTACGCCTCGGCTTGTTCATCTTGGCCGCCAAGACACTGTTGCGGAGAGGCCGCTTACAAACGCCCCCACACAACACAAGCGTATAATCTCCAGATTGGCGGCCCCTCCCAACAAGTTCATCCGGCCGCTTGGTCTAGGGGTATGATTGCCGCTTTGGGTTGTGATCTTTGATCACTCTGATTGCGGCAGGTCCCGGGTTCGATCCCCGGAGCGGCCCATCAAACATCGCCACAAGTGATGATCGGTTCCTTTTTGCATTTTGCTCACATTTCTCACTGCTCGTATGCTATTTGTCTTCCCTTTCCCCCCTGTTTTCTTTTATCTTCTGCCTTTTTACGTATTTTTTTTCTCTCTCTCGATACCTCTGTTCTTCGGCAACATCTGCACCCATTTTTACCTCGCCGTCATGGCCCAAACTGGGTGATGCGCTATTGTAACATTCGACAAGTACGCTGTTTAGTTTGCGCAAGGGTATCTCAAGACTTTAAGCACCGCCAGAAGGGACATCAAAATCCCATATTTTCTTCCAGCCAATTGCCAACAGTCTCCTCTACAGCCTCGTCGTCTAGATCTGCCGACCCGACATCGCGCAGGCGCACCCTCCGGTCAGCCTCCTGCTCAACGGCGGCAATATCTTCGTCCCACCCCGGTCGTCTCTCTAGCTCGGACAGCTTGATGCTGCGGCGCATGAGTGCCGCCAGCCGCCCCGCCTGCGACGCGAATCCATTGCTTTCCATCCCGCCCAGCAACCGCCGCCTGTACTTGGCCGCGGCCGCGGTATTGCCTCGTCCCTTGACAACTCGGCCATCGCTGATGGCGATGGTGTCGCCGTCGGCTGGGGATTCGTGCAGGAGCAGCGCCGCGGGGATCTTCAGGTCCCAACCCCAAGGCGGGAATCTTTCGTGCGCCGGACGGGGGATCTTGAAGGTGACCTCGAGGTTCTTGTCTGCGGCCTCGCCGCTGCTCATGCGAGGCTCGAACCCGCCCGCATCTGGGCCCGCTTCCAGCAGAGAAAGGTTGATGATATCGTTAGGGTCGGAGTTGGCATCAAGCGGCTGGTCAAAGGTCGGCGGCGCCTCGAAGCCGGCGTTGTGAAAGAACAGGCAGGGGCTGGCGAAGGGATCGAATAAGCTGGACGGGCTGCCGAACAGGGTCGGCATCACTCTCTTGAGATAACGGAATGCCGTTTCCCCTCTCTCCTCGCGTTCTGGCATCATTTCCACGTCCGCTTGATTATATGAACTCCCGTCCTGCTGCGGCAACCAGTTGATCGCGTGGCCGGGCAGGAAGGTGGTCCAGTCGTAGATTCCATTGTGCAGAGCGACGCTGCGGACTGCCATACCGTTGAACTTTTGTGACTCGGTCAGGCCGAGCGCGGCGGCCAGCGACGCGCCCAGGTAAGAGCCGCAGACGTGGATGTCTCGCCTGAGCGCATGCTGGGGCGCCAGGTTCCGCGTGATCCAGCTGTATCCATGGAGCACGTCGTGCAGCGGCGTCGGCCAGCGGGGAGGCGTGGGTGTCACGCTGTTGTGCGGCGCGCCGATGGGGAGAGGCCCGCCATCGCCGTCGCCGTCGCCGTCGCCGTCGGTCCCAGGCCGCACAATCTGGGGGCTTGAGACTTGCTCGGTCTCATCCCCTTTGTCCGTCGCGGTCACCTCGGGCCAGCGATAGTAGATGACGACTGTCGGGTATGGGCGGATGAAGCGCGGGAGGGGCATGCCGGCAGGGCGCGAGAAAGGCGGGAGGTATATCAGCAAGGGGGTGTCGTCCGAGTGCCGCGAGAGGTTGTGCAGACCCAGGGTGATGTGGCCGGACGATCCGCACCGAAGCCGAACATGGTCGCAATCGGACTCAGACCACGATGAGAGCGGCCTTCTTCCAGGGCTCAACAGCACTGCGCGGCTGCCTGGGCGGGTAGCGAGCAGACAGAGCTGCCTGTGGCATATTTTCATGATTCGCTCGACAGCACCTCCCAGAAGGGCCCTGTCATGACCTCACTCCGCCGAACTTCACCAACCACGGCCTGTGTCCTAGCTCATGCGATTGGTTGTTGACTGGCTAGCGAAACCGTCGCTGGGGCCGGGGTTCGGCTTAGACTAGTCAAAGATCAGGGATAGGTAGTGTATGATACGCCAGGGAGGGTTGAAAGATGTCTAACGTCAGAGTTCAGGTCATCGGGTCTCTCGCCGACGACTCGGCGAGCTGAACAAATTTGCGTCTGCCGCTGGAACATGGATGCACAGGCGCACCCCTCGCCAACAGAGCAGCCAATCAGAACGGTAACCTAACCCTGTGGGTGTCTTGCTAACGCCGGCCGTTGCGCCCAGAAAAAAAACAAGCTTCGGCGACTTGCATGGCCGCTGAAGATGAACGCTAGGCCGATCGATCCAAGGCGCCCTAGCCGGCAGACCAAGTAGGCCATGAGTAAAACATCCAGGCGAGACCACACGTCATCGGACCCAGTGGATGCGGCATGCCGCTGTGTGAAGTGGAGGCCCGGCGCGGTGAAAGGACATGGCAAATTGAAATTACCATCCACCTCTCCAGAATCTTCGTTTTTGATCACCAGACTTTTAGAGCCTTTATCTCTCGCCTTTCTTCCTTCTGCCGTGCAACAAACGCAAGCCCATTCGATCGCCATGGACGTGACATGAAAATCGCCGAGCACCTCTCCACCTCTTTTTTGCTCCTTTTACGGGGTTTCTTTGATCTCTCCCCGACGATCCGGCCGCTATGAACGACGCCAGCGGGGAGCACATCCAACGCCATGTCAAGGAGTTTGAGCAGCAGGCCCCTGGCGGCAACGGCCAGGATTGGAAGCTGGACATGGGACGAGAGATCCCAACTGCCCATGCTCATGTCGACCCAACGTACGCACTTCACACCAACTATAGCCCCGTGGCACACAACTGACTGGACTTTTGCAGACGCTGGTGGTTCGCCTCGTCGGCCTTCCCCATGATCGCTGGCACGCTTGGCCCCGTCGCCTCCGCCTTCAGCATCTGCGCCCTCGTCCGCCCCTGGAGGCAGCGCCTGGCCCCCGGCGCAAAGGTCGACCAGGCCCCCTTCGTCGCCGACCCGACCTGGCTCATCGCCGTCAACGCCATCCAGCTGGCCGTCGCCATCGTCGCGAACCTGTTCCTGCTGCTGAACATGGCGAAGCGGATCCGGTTCACCGTCGCCATGCCCATCACCATCGTCGGCTGGTACCTTTCCGCCGCCTGCCTCGTGGCCCTCGTGGCTTCCGCGGCGGTCCACATCACCCTCACCGATCCCGACTCGGAGCACATGTGGTCGCAGGCCTTTTGGTACGGCATCTTTGCCGGCCTGCTGTACTTCATCGTCGCCTCCCTCCTCGTCGTGACCGCCTGGGGCGCGAACAAGGGCCGCTACGAGAAGGATTTCCAGCTGACGGCCAGTCAGCGCACGCTGATGGTCCAGACCATCATGTTCCTCATGTACCTGCTCCTCGGCGCCCTCGTCTTTTCCACCATCGAAGGCTGGCAGTACCTTGACGCCGTCTACTGGGCGGACGTGACGCTGTTTACCGTCGGCTTTGGCGATATCCGCGCCACCACCACGCTAGGACGCGGCCTCCTTTTCCCTTACGCGCTCGTCGGCGTCATCAGCCTGGGTCTGGTCATTGGATCGATACGCAGCCTGGTGCTCGAGCGTGGCAGGAGGATGCTTGGCGCCCGCATGATCGAGAAGAAACGGAGGGGGCTTATCCAGTGCCTGACTGACCATGACGAGCAAGGCATTCTCACGCCAGTCAGAGACGAGAACGCCAAGGATGCCGACGGTGAACGGCGCGGCGACGATGGATCTCCGATACCGCCGAGAAGCACCAAGACAGGCTTTTCCGAGATTCAACGCAGGGAAACCGAGTTCAGGCTGATGCGCCGGATACAAAAGTCCGCCGCCAAGAGAAGACGCTGGCTCGCGATGGCGCTGTCGACCAGCACCTGGATCCTGCTCTGGCTCTTGGGCGCCCTCATCTTCAAGCACAGCGAGGAGCCGTACCAGGGATGGACCTATTTCGACGGCGTCTACTTTTGCTTCGTCAGTCTGACCACAATCGGCTACGGCGACGTCACCCCGGTGTCGAACCCCGGCCGCGCCTTTTTCGTCTTCTGGTCTCTTCTCGCCCTCCCGACAATGACGGTGCTCATATCCAACGCCGGCGACACCGTCGTCAAGGCCATCCGCGATACGACGAACCAGCTCGGCGGCATCACCATCCTCCCCGGCGACCAGGGCGCCCTGCGGGACTTCAAGGCCATTTTGCACACCATCTCGTGCGGTATGCTCTTTGCCGAGGACGACGACGTCGAGGAGACCCCTCCTGGGTTCCTCGGCCAGGCTCGCATCCGGCGGCTCTCCGACGAGGACGGGGATTCTGAAGGTGACGAGGACTCTCGTAGCCTGCAGAAATTCAGATCGGATGAGGCCCTCGCCGACGAGGAGCGCGTTCTGGAAGGGGCTTCTCGAGCAAGACGCAAAGCCCGTGGCAAACGCCCCGAATCTGGGCCGAATGGCGGCACATCAGAGCCCAACCAAGCGCGAGACACCCACGCCCACCACAACAACGATGGCAGTTCTACACATAAATCTTGGGGATTAAAATTGTTAGTGCTATGGGCATTTCTATCCTTATTTTTCTTTTTTACTATTCCTCTTCATATTCCCCTTGTTATTCCTCTTGTTGTTCTTGCCGTTAAACATGACAACCTGAAGACAGTGGCATGATACTGGAGAAGGAGAAGTCCGAGCTAACACCCCAAACAGTGCATCCGCAACAGCAAACCTCGCCGGCGCCGCCACAAAGTCACCCAACCCGCAAGTCAGCAGCGCGAAACCTTCAGGCCTGCCACCGCCCCGCCCAAGAATCTCGCTCCCTCCCATCCCGCAGGACCCTGCCGACTATCACATCCTGCTGATCGACGAGATCGCCCGCGTGTCGCAGCACATGAAGCACAAGCCGCCAAGGAAGTACAGCTTCGCCGAGTGGGCCTGGTACCTGCGGCTGCTGGGTGAGGACGAGGGCAGCGCCGAGACGCACAGGCGCGCCAGGCCGCACGTCCACGGGAGGAGCGGGCGGCGGCGTGCCGGGGCCGGCGGCAGCAGCAGCAGTGCCAACCACAGCGCACTCCGTTTGGCCGAGGAGGGCGGCGCCAGCAACGGGTCGGCTAGGCCGGGGGTTGACGGTGATAATGGGCAAGGTGCGGGGGTCAGGAACGGGGAGGATGGTGGTGCGCCTGTGGCGGCACAGGATGGCAGCTGGAGCTGGATAGGATCACGCAGCCCGCTGATGGGTAGGCAGGACGAGGCAGAATGGATTCACGAGAGACTTGTCATGAAGCTAGCTGAGGAGCTGCGGAGCGCCAGGAGAGAAGGAGGCGAGGGGTGAGACACCTATTCTTTTCTAATTACTTGGATTTCAAGCGCATGGTTACCCATTTCCATCGAGACGCCAACGCATCTCAGCAACTCAGTTCCCGATAGCCTCTCAGGAAAACAAAGCAGAGAGGAGAGAACAAAAAGTACGGCGAGGAGACGTGGCAAGTCCCTCACTCGATAGTCCCATCAGTCGTCGTCTAGAGGTTCGTCATGAAATATAGTTCTTCATCCACCGTTGGCCCATTTCCCCCGCATGTAGAGACGCAACAGGGGACTCGCCATTTCTGTCCCTTTCAAGCGTTGGTTGCGTTCACGCCACGCGCCACACGCCTCCTTCCAGCCCGATATCTCTACCAGAAGGTGGTGTAGGGAATACCATGTGCGGCGGCAGCCGCCCGGATCGACGTGCCGCCCTGGACCAAACGGCAGGCCTCGCTGATCTGTTCTTCTGTGTATTGCTTCTCCGCCACTTTGGCTGTAAGATGCGGGAAAAGTGATGAAGAAGGGATATATGTTAGCCGAGATATTCGGGAGAGGTGAGTGATATCGCGAGGGCGTGGGAAAATTGAATGGTCTAATTAATAGGGGGGTGACCGAGGATGATATCTAACTTACTCGAAACGTTGGGGATGTCGGAACAGCTGGAATCTACCGCATCAAGGAGACCGTAGGAGGGAAAAGCGCAAATATAATGCTACCCCGAAGGGCGCCAAGAGGATCTATCACCTAGGCCTCGTATATGAATCAACGTGTAGGCGATCTATCTGTGCGTGTCGTCGGCCTCTAAAGCGACGGCGTCCGTGACCTAGGGTCAGTGCACCGCGCTCGACGGAATCATCGGAATAGCTGGGATCAACGGAAACGTCGAGATCGTCGAGATCGTCGAGATCGTCGAGATCGCCGACATCGTTGACGTGGCCAACATCGTTGACATCGCTGACATGGCCAACACCGCCGACATCGTCGGCATCCTCGTGAGCGTGGCTACTACCGGGTGGAGGCTCAAGTCTCGGCCCTTTCTGGCTTGGCTGCGGCACGGTTCTGGCTGTTATCACTGTCAGTCGTTGCGTAGTTTCGGGCGATGACTCCCCACGCGACCCAGGGGGTCCACGATGAGAAGCAAAGCCTGGCCGCTCTCCTGGCCTGGGTCTACTTACCGTCCGCGTTCGTGGAAGGGGCAGAGGGGACAGCAGGACTCCTGCCAACGAGGCTGCCTGTGGCGGCGGCGGCGAGGAGCTTCTCGCTCGCGTCCAGGAGGCCGATCTCGTGCTCCAGAGCCTCCACCTTCGCAGCGATGTACTCGGCTTCGTTTTTGTTTCCAGCCGACTTCCTCACTTCATCGATCTGGGCCGCGATCTTGCGCCGCTGATCGTCAAGGTTCTTACGGGCCTGCTCGTTCTTGACGCACAGGCTCGAGATGGCCGCCGCAATCTCGACCGTGCTGGTGATGTGGTCAAAGGTGTAGGCGCGCGACACTGTAATGCAGGACGACAAGCGGCTCGCTACGGTTAGTGCTGAACCAAAAAAATGAACGGTAAACTCCGTCCCGTATTGTAAAACTAGTATCAAATGAAAACGCACTCTTCGCGGTTTTGTGCTGTTTGCTCAGCAGCGGGATGTTGGTGATTGCAATTTAATGTGTGGAATTCAGCCTTTGTTTTCTCGAAGAAATTTGTGGTGAGTAAGAAAGCAAAGCAGCGAGTGGGCGAACGGGAAAGTGGGGTAAATGAGAAGAAATGTTTGCAGCAAGTAAAGCCAAAAAAACTGTAAGGAGAAGCTGATGAGGTTCTGAACAGGTGATGAGTGACTTAGACCTAAAAGATTTATTATTAAAAAACGCCTACCACCTGGAGGCCTGTGCCTAGTCCTCCTGTTCTATAGCCACTTTTCGGTGGTATACTACTTGAGGATGAAAGAAATAATTAGAGCTACTTATAAGGCCAACTAACGTTGGTACCTTACACAATGCTTATGTTTACCACATTCTTTTTAACAGTTTGCTATTTAAAATTTAAAGCAATGATTCGCCAAGCGAAGTTGCAAGATAGCATTGGTAAGGTAAAATTACTAAATAGAGGAATAAAAAAGTAAGAAACGCTAAGAAGAAGGAATGGTTTAACAACAAACGAAAAAAATAGAAATTTGAAATTATATTGCAAAAAGGCAATCTGTGCAGTAAACTACTCTAGCCACGACGGGGGCTACTCGGAAACTGTCACAGCATGGCTGTCGGGGTTGCCGTTTTCGTTTGGTTGTCGTCGTTTGCGATGAGAGTTCTCCTCGAAGCGCAGGCCGACGCCCTCTCTAGGCTGCACCCTTGGGGAGATTGTAAAACGGGAATTTAAACATGAAACTGCTGCTTAGGCAGTCTGGTAGAGGTATTACACTGCGTGTGAATGTCTGGGGCTAGGGGAATGGGGTTGTAACGGAACAACCCCAGCCCTAAAGCATCACCGCAAGGCAGCGGTGGCTCAAACCAACTGGGCCGTCCCAGTAATGCGCTCAAACTCACCCACGGTGTGCGCCCACGCCGCCTCCGCAGTTCCGTCCTCCCTCAAGTTCGCCAGTGTCCGCCGCACCGCCGCCGACCCGCTCTCGCAGTGCTCGTCGACCGTGTAGACGCCGCTGCCGACCTCCCCGTCCGTGCCGCCCGCGACCGCCCGCCCCGGCGCGAGGGCGACCCCGTCCGTCCCGTCGCCCTGGCCGCCGGCGCGCGCGGGGAACGCGGCGCTCGTGCACAGGAACGCGTGGCGCTCGCCGCTCTCGTCCCTGGGCACGGCGAAGGGCCCCAGGAGCGTCATGGCGGCGGCCCACAGCAGCCGCATGCCGCTGCCGAACCCCCGCCCGATGTTGGTGCGGACGAAGCCCGGGAAGCTGTGCACGAAGGACACGTCGGGCGCGGACCGGGCGAGCCGCTCGAGCGCCAGCGTCTGCATCGAGGTGCCGTGGCCGCGGGCCCGGGCCAGCGACACATTGCGGGCGGGCAGGTCGTTCGTGTCCACGGCTCCCTCCTTGGTGCCCGCCAGGACGGTCACCACGCGGCGGAGGTGCGGCGCGGCGCGGATCTGCGGGAGCAGGTTTGCGGCGAAGCGCACGCGGGCGTAGTATTGCAGGGCCGTGATGACGGGGAGCCCCTCTGGCGTGTCTGCTCGCTCCCCCGTCGTGTGGTTAGTTATTTGCCAATGTCCTTTTTTGCTCTGCCTTGACCGCACTTGTTTCCAGGAGCATGGAAAGCACGTACCGACCCCAAACATGAAGTTGCCGATGCTGAGAAACAGCACGTTGATGGTCTTCTCCTTTTCCCTGAGTTGGCGGCACACTTCGTCGACGTTCTTGAGTAGGGTCGCGTCTGTCTGCATGAAGAAATATTCGCCCTCCGGGTTCAGCTTTCCGCACTCGGCAATTATGCGGTCGGCTGCGGGTTGAGACCGGCCGATAATGTAGATTTTGGGTTGGCGGGCGTGCTTTGCAAAAGCGAGCAAGCTGTACTCGCCCAAACCGCTGGTGCCGCCGACGAAAACGGCCACCAGGCCCGGCGGCAGCTCCGTCGCGATGCGGGCGTTGGACCCCTTGACATCTGCGAGCTTAACCATGGCTTGTGGCTGGGTTTTGTGTGCTAGTGTAGCTGTCGCTGGGATATGAGGTGGTGCTGAGACCTTTCGTTTGGCTGCTTTCTAATGCTCCAGCCGACGCAGCTGTGTGCCCTCGAAGTGGGAGATTTATACTGACGCCAGGCCGCAATTGGGCCATACGATTCCTCCGATTCCCACCCCATGGTCTTACCACCTTGTCTGGCCCAGCTACCCCGCACAGGATCGATAAAAACCAATCATTCAATGTGTCCTGCTTGCCGCCACCACCAGAGTGCGGCAGGGAGGTATCAGGAGATGACACCATCGGGCACGGGGTTCCAGTTAGCCCAACAGACCGGCCTCGCCCAAAGCTCTCTTGCTATCCCCCGAATCCCGTGCTTGTACCATCCCGCTCGTCTAGGACCCCTTCTTTCCCTTTCTTTGTGTATATTGGCCTAACGTGAAGGCTGTTAGGGATGAAGTCCTGTGTTTACACGTAAATGCTGCAAGGATCCATTGTCGACTATGAGGCCGTGCCTGGCTAATTCCGAGCTATCGGATCGAAATCTACGGGCATTGTGGCGGCCCTCCTAGAAATCCACGTGCTTCAGTCGCCTGCTTCCCACTAAGAGGTCTAGATTATGTTACCAGCTAGCAATGCATTATCCCACCGCCTAGCCCGTCGTCTCCCCGGCCTCCAGCGGCCGCCTCCGGCCCCACTACAGCCACCATTGTCCCGGCCGCCGTCGAAACGGTGCATAGGCAGCAAGCGCAGCTTACTCACCCAGGCCCTGGGCATCGGGGAATTCAGCGTGACACATCTCCGCCAACGCCGCGGCAGCTACCAGCACTCTCTCTTCCGCCGCGCTAGTTTGCCTTTTTGCCGCCTTTACGTCGCCAAGCAGGGCGCCGTTGAGGTCGCAGGCTTCGTCGTCTTCCCCGGCACCGAAGAAGAAAAAACGCGCCGGACAGGTGCCCGCCGAAGCCTAGCGAGGAGATTTATATCATCAGCGTGATGGAGAGGTTCTCTGATGTCGGTCCCGAGGCAGCGCCACTCCACCACCTGCCCTCTGACACGTAAATGAATGTACAGAAAATTATGTGGCGAAGAGTATTTGGATGAGCCCGCCTTTTACTCTCCCTTTGCTTGGCTAAAAGCAGCCCAGCGCAGGCCAGGCTGGCTAGGGAGCCCCATTTTTAGCTTGCGCCCTCCTTGAGATCCTGCCGAAGCACAAAGACTAGGGGATGGGGTTTGCTCATGCAACATGCCTTCATACAGCTTTCCTGTTCCCCCTTGGCAAGGGGCAGGGCGCGATCCATCATTGTGTCACCGTCTGTGGCTGACCTGAGCACGGAGCAGGATCAGTTCACGCGCCAAGGGCGGCGCGACGTCGGCCATCTCGGGACCGACCTCGGCCAGCGGGCGGGATCTCGTCGAGGCTACGGCACATATCGCTTCCTATTGCTCCCGGAGGAGTCTGATGCATCATCTGTTCCTCGGGCCAATTGAAGAACCGAAGGAAGCCACCATCTCTCCCTGATCCAATTATATAGACACAGGATTGCGTGCCGCACCTGCGCGTCTTGCGCTTTCAGTAGCTTCAAGTTTTGGTCAGTGCAACTGCCCACACTTAGTGGCCAGACAGGCCGAGACCAGCAAAGGATGTGGCTATCGGCGTAGAAGATTATCTGGCGGCGTCAGAAGCACAACGGAGTTACTACCTACGGTGTCGCACACGATGATCCTCCAATGCTGCCATGACAATTACTGTGCCCAAGCACTTTCCAACTCATGGGCATCCCAAGGAATAATTATATTGTTCTGGCCTGAAACAGGTTTCTTTGCGGTCTTTCAACACATAGACCATCACCAACAAACTGACCAAGAATTACGACAGTTTCCCAACCACCGGTTTCATCTACACCTCACATCACCCTTCGCCGTGCTACCAACAGCAGACATAACAAAAGACAACCTCATCTTGAGAACAGGCCTTTCATTCACACCCACCAATAAACGCCGCCCTTGCAGCTATGCGCTTCACGACGGCCCTCGCCATCTTCTCGACCAGCCTTGCCACCCTCGGCGCGGCCCTCCCGGCCAAGCCCCAGCCCCAAAAGCCGACATCGACCGGCGCCAAGCCCAGCCACAGGCTCTTCTGCCCCGGCCCCAGCTACGGCAGCAACGGGCTGGGATCCATAGTACCGATCAGCTGTTACGACCGCATGAAGTGCGACTCCTCCGGCCGCGCCGTCGGCCGGTCGGGCGGCAAGGCGGTGAGGAGCTTGTTCGGCAACCCCTGCGCAAACTCCTGCATGTGCCTCAAGGCTTAGGCAGATGGCCTCGTTGGGTGACTGTGAGATGACATCTTTGTAAGGTGGTCGTATGTGAAGATTTGGCTAGGTGGCGTGCGTATCTGGGTCTTATGTTTTATGCATGGCGTAAGGGGAGTTGCGGTGTTACAATCCGGCTGGCGTTTGTTTTCAGGGCCTTTTTTGCAAAGGTATCTGCATTTGGAAAGCTGTCCCTGTTTCCTCGTCCTATATCCCTTGGGGCCCCTATCCCTTATACATCCATATATTTAGTTTTGTGTAACAGCGTCCGATTTCTCAAGTGACAGAATCACCAGCACCACACTGACCGCTGAGGGCTGACTGGTAGATCCATCTCCCATCATGGGATTCTTGTGTCCAAGCTCTGCACTTTGCACGAAGCTGTTGGCCCTGGGAAATGGATTCATGAATGAATTAAGCAAAGCCTTCCCTGCCTAGCACCAATGTTATTACCATATAACTCTACCCACCGATCGGGCCTGACCATGTGGCAAGCAGCAATGTGAACTACAACGAAATCTCTGTCGCAACATAACTAACCCCTGGAAAGAGAAGAGTCCGGCTACCAGGGCCAAAGTATCCTTGATGCCGAATTTACCGGGCGTGTATCATAATTAGTCCCTTCCCTTTTATAGGCGGGTTCGGTCATTGATATTTTGCTGACTTGTGCCTTTTTCTGTTTGAGCTTAATAGCCCATCCAGAATACCGCGAAACCAGATGACTATGAGTATTGTCAAGACTTTAGGCTCCGCTGAACACATGGTTCTACCTCCCAGTAACCTGTAAGGGCTACATCCCATCCTGCTCAGCTCGACTTCTCGCTCCTGCCCATGGTCGACTGTATCGTGCCTCCTATGGTGCCCTCTGTCAAGCTTGGCATTGTGGTGTACCAAATGAGAAGACAATATTTATTGCAGAAGGCAGGAAGCGCGAGACATGGGTAGGTTATTATACGGCGGTCTCACTGTGGCGGCAAGTGAAACACGGTGGTGCGCGCGCATGCGGAGACGTAGTCGTGACGACATCGATACCATGACGCAATTAGTGCATCTGCCACGCTTGCTCCGAGTGCCGGGTATTCGGGGCGTCTTTAGCATGGCTGGAAAGCCTGGAGAAGCCCTCACGAGTGGATGTCGCCCACTCGCCATCCTTCATCCGAACGCACCGTCCGATGGTGGCACGGGGTTTAAGAACAGCCTGCGGGTTCAGCCACAGAAAAACACAGGGCACTTGGGATCATGACGCAGCCCGGCTTGCTTTAAACTGCTACGATCCTGCTAGTGCTTTTCCACCACTCTCGTCTTTTACAGAGCGCCACGCTCAATGGTGCTGACCAGAACGCCAAAAAGCCTCCCATATACCCTAGCAAGGCGTCGCGTGTTTCCAAGACCCTGCGAAGGAGCGACCCTTTCGGCTTGGATGAAACCCGGCGCTCCCCCTGAGGCCGTGGCTCGCCAGCGTACAGCCCAAAGAAGGTATCGGGCTCCGTTGGATGGTTTCCGGTGACGTCTTGGAAGGCCATCGTGGCGATGTAGTTGGTCTTGCCCTCGCGCACCAGGCTGTAATACTCGAGGATGTACTCAGGCTCTGACTAGTCACTCTCGAACTGCGCTTTGGAAACCTTCTTGGCTTCACGCCTGTCTATGCACGGCGGATGTTAGAAGGATCGAGCAAACTGCCAGGAGAGGTTAAGAAAAGACGTCTGGATCGGGCGAGGAGTGAAGGGATGGGAGGAGGTTTGCTTACTCCGAGATGTCCTTGCACTACAACTCCACGCCGACACCCTTGCTGGCCGCCGCCGTGAGCTCCTTGCCGCTGGCCAACATGCGGCCCGTCACCGCCATCGTCTGGCCGCGGTGCCTGTCGTCAAAGCCATGGCCTCGAGATCGATAAATTCGCACAGCCGCGGCTGCGTCTCGCGCTCGACGTAGTCGACGCAGGCCGAGCTGATGAGGAGTGCGTTGTTGACGCAGCCTGCGGCGCGCGCGGCTCTCGACAAGCTCGGTGCATGCCGCGAGCTTGTCAGGCCGGGCGGGCGGCACCAGGCAGAGGGTGTCGCACTTTGACTTCTCGTGAGCGGCTGCGACGCCGTCCGGGCCGGAGCCGGGCTCACGCTCGACGACGGAGGCGCTGAGCGCCTCGAGCTCCATGGCCTTCTCCGACTTGGCGTCGAGTGAGAGGGCGATGGCGCTGTCGACCTTGGACAAGAAGTTGTCGCTGGTCAGGACAGCTCGGCGATGAGGAAGCCCGTATGGCCGTCGACGGACGTGACGCAGACGTTGCGGTCGGCGTTGGGCATGTTTGCTTCGGTGTGTGGGGGTGAGAAGTGGGTAGGTGGCCTACGAGGTTGTGTATGCTCGGTAGGATCGTGGGCTCGAGTATGGACGCCGGAAGTGGAGATGGCGGCTTAAGTCTCGCAAGAAAATCGAATTGTATTAAAACGGTTGCCCTAGATCCACGCCGCGTAGATTATTGCTCCCTTTCCCATGGTGTTGCTGGTAGGCGATAACGCCTTTTCCCACCGTATCTATAAGTATTGCGTGCTGTTTTTGGTTGGCCATTCCGAGTGGCTGGTTCGTCAACACCCTTCCGTTAGCCTCATAAAGGTCAAGTGTCGAAGAAAACCGCGACGGCTCGTTCTGTTGCCCGGAAGACTGGGCATGGTCCGCGGATGGCAACATGTCGAGGGCGGGCAAAACACAAGACGGCGCGGTGTTGTGCCTTTTGTCAGGTGTCTCGACTCAAGGTCCCTCTGTGGGTGTTGGGGTGGGAGGGAGGAACGAATGTTTGCCCTTTTGGCTGGTGCGCGGGTGACGTCATTGACGCTGATATCCGTATTCTCGGTAAAATGGCAGGTCGCGAGACAAAGCGTCATAGCAATCGGCCCGCAGCTGTGACCCTTGGCGGCAGTTCGATTGGCCATCTTCGCCTAGTATCAGGCACCTTGGCGTTTTGTCATTAGATGATAGGAAATCGGCCAGCGCGTTCAGCACAGGGAGGATAAGATCATACCTGGGGGAGCCCAGCTCGCCCGCAGCTCGACCGGCCGGTCCTATGCGTCAAGCTCCATGCCCGTCGTCCCATCCCGCGCCGCCTCCTGCTGCCCCTCCGCCCTCCCCAGCCCCGCGATGCCGGCCGTGACCTTTTCGAGGTCCAGGAAGAACTCCTTCTTCAGCCTCCTGGCCGCGCGCTTCGCCTGCTTCTTCCGGCGCTTCTCGAGATCCGTCAGGCTGTGCCGCGGCTTCCTCTTGGTGCGCTGCTGCTCGCCGGTGGTGGTGACGAGAGGCTGCTGCCCCGCCGCTGCCGCCGCCGCCGACTGTGGCCCCTGGTGACGGATCTCGAGCCTCTTTTGCGCGGCGAGCTGCAGCTTCTTGCGTCTGTCGCGCTTCTGCTGTAGTTTGCTAGGGTTAACGCCAGCTGTGGGTGCCTCTGTTGGGGATGTGGCGGCGTGGGCAAAGGATAAGGCGGTGGTGCTCTCGGCGATCATCTCGTCGGACACTAGCCGTGCCGTGGGGTTAGCGGGGGAGAAAAGACGCAGCGGCGATTTTAAAGGATAAAGGTAGGTATATATGCACTCTTGTAAATAACGGAACTTCGTAGAGCGTTAAAGTAGGCAATAGTGACCATGGCGACTAGTAAGGTTGTGTCTGTGTGTGTGGGTTGTGTGAGGGTAGGTGGTATTGTCTCGTCGAAAACTCGAGGCCCAGGAAAATTCAATGTTGATGAGATTGATGATTGCAGAAGCAGAAAAAGTTGGGGAAGAAAATTGGGCAAGCCGACGTGGCGAAACGGAGATATCAATTAGGGCTGCCCGCCGGCCTTCTTATTAACGTAGATGGAGTCACGCTTTCCATCTCGGGGTCTGGTTAGGTACTCATTCTCTTCCTGTTGGGCACCCAAAGTCCACTTCATATGGTCCCGTTCGCGTTCACTGGTGCCAGCTTTCAGATCGTGGGTTTATGTTTAGGGCGCCTCAATGACGACTGTTCAGGAACAGGTGATGTTTTGCGGGGCGGCTGCGTTGTCAGTTTGCAGCCAAGCCGCATGTGTCTGCTGTCATTCGTGCCCAAACTCAATCGGGATTGGAGTTTAGATCCAAACCAAGCGACCTGCTTGGGACGCCTCGAAAATAAATATCTACACCGTGAAACGCTGGAGGGGTATTCAGGGGTAAAGGTATCAACTCTACTAGAAAGATAAAAAGAGGCAAAAAGAATGTCTCCCCTCCCAGAATCGAACTAGGGACCTTTCGATAACAATTTGAACAATTACAGTCGAACGTGATAAACCAACTACACCAAGGGGAGTTAGATGATTTGTTGGATGCAGGGTCCCACCGCGATTCTGATATGCCTCGCATGGGATCCACTTTCAACACCCCTTTGCATCCCACCATCACTTCATCACGACTACACAATATAACGGGTTCGAATACTACCGAAGAAAGCAATGAATAAAGTTTGTACGGATGAAGAATAACTCGGCCGCGTAAAGGCCATACAGGAAAGAGCAATATGTTGCGACCATCTCAGCTGAGCAAACCCGCGAGAGCTGGCAGCTAAGGAACCCCATTCTACGAATAAAAAGGCAGGACTGTCAAGGACCAAGGAATTGCGACCCGTCCAGCAAAGTAGACATGAAACAAAAGACCAAACAAATGGGAGTCAGTGAGAGCCGGCAGCAGCGAGAGCTCGAGGTGTTCGCGTACAGCACCAGGAAATCAGACCTTGTCCTCCCCAGCCTCGCTCGACACCACCACGACGCCCTCGAGCGGCGCGACGCCATCGTCCGCCGCCACCCCGACCCTGCTGGCGCGGAACCCGACCGCCCACCACCTGGTGCCCAGCGCGAGCGAGCTGAGCACGACGCTGATGCTGCTCAGCGCCATGGCGAGGCTGGCCCAGACCGGGTTGAACCGGACGTGCTGGCCCATCTGGGTGGTGACCGGGTACAGGACGCCGGCGGCCACCGGGACGGCGAGCACGTTGTAGACGAGGGCCCAGCCAAAGTTGAGCTTGATGCGCCGGAACACGGCGGCCGAGAGCTCGAGCAGCGTCACCACGTTGCGCAGGTCGCTGTGCACCAGCACGAAGCCGGCGCTCGAGATGGCCACGTCGGACCCGGACCCGACCGCGACGCCGACGTCGGCCTGCGCCAGCGCGGGTGCGTCATTGACCCCGTCGCCCACCATGGCCACGATGGCGCGCCGCTGCTGCTTCTTGGAAGATACGGGCTCGGCTGCCATCGCCTGCAGGCGCTTGATCTGCTCCGCCTTTTGCGCGGGCAGCACCTCGGCCAGGACGTTATCGGCCTCAATGCCCACGCGCGCTCCGACGGCGCGCGCCGTGGCCGCGTTGTCGCCCGAGAGCATATACACCTGCAGCCCGCGCTGGCGCAGCGCCGCGACGACGGCGCGCGCCTCGGGCCGGACCGGGTCCGACATGGCGAAGGCGGCGCAGATGGAGAATGGGGCCGTGTTGCTAGCCCCCTTCTCGTCGTCCCCGGGCACTTGCGAGTGTAGCCTGGAGGCGACCAAGGCGACCGACTTGGCACCCTCGGTCCACGCAGTGATGGTCTTATGCAGGCCCTCGGGCGCCGGGGCGGAAAATTGGTCCATGAGCGCCATGTTGCCCACGATAATATCAAATGCGGGGGAGCCATCGCCGGGCACGTACGCTCCTTTCATGCCCTTTCCGGGAATCTCCTGCACGTCGTCGATGGTTCCACCGGCCGGGAGAGGCTGCTCAGCGCAGAAGGAGACGAGCGCCTTGGCGACTGTGTGACTGCTGTTCTCCTCGATGGCCTTGACGGCAGCAAGGAGCACCTGTTTCTTCTCTGTCTCGTCGCGCTCGGCGAGGAAAAATTCAGAGTCGGTGATCTTTGGCTCGCCGCCCACGGTCAACGTCCCGGTCTTGTCAAATACTACACAGCTTATCCGGCTGGCCGTCTCGAACGCGAGGCCGCCACCCTTGGCCAGGATGCCGTGCCGCGCAGCCAAGCCGCCGCCAACGAAGATAGCTGTGGGCGCTGCCAGGGCGATGCCGCAGGGGCAGGCGACCACAAAGACGGAGATTGCGAACTGCAGCGAGAAGGCAACCCAGCCGCCCGACGTGACGTCAAGGAAGTGTCCCTCGATGGATCCCGTCAAGCCTAGTGCCAGCCATATTATCCAGGTGAGGATCGCGATGAGGGTGACGCAGGGCACAAAGTACGTGGTGAGCAAGTCCGCAAACTGCTCGAGCGGGGCGCGCCGGGCTTGGCCCTCTCGCACGACGCGCACGATCTGGTCCAGCATGGAATGGCCCGAGGCGCCAGTCACCCGAGCCAGGACGGGGCCGTCCTTGTTGACGGTGCCGGCGTAGATGGCGTCGCCGGGAGACTTGCGGATGGGTCGCGACTCGCCCGTCAGGCTGGACTCGTCAAAGCTCGATGTGCCCTGCACCACTACGCCGTCGGCCGGCGGCGAGCTGCCGTGTGGTATCCTGACGATGTCGCCCAGGTCTAGGAGATCCGTCTTGACCACCGTGTCCGTGACAAGGACGGTAGGGTTGGCATCACCCTTTTCGTCATCACGGCCGCCCGGGTCGGTAGGTGACGCTTGCGACTCGACAAGGATGGCTGTGGTGGGACGCAGCTTTCCCAGCGCCTCAACCGCGCTGCCCGTCTTCGACTTGCTATAGGACTCGATGAGGCGACCGAGCAGGAGGAAGAAGGTCAGGAAGACGACAGCGTCAAAGTAAAAGTTGGAGTCGCTGACGGTGCTGGGCCGATAGGCGGCGGCGGCGATGAGCTGGCTCGTCGAGCTGACGTAGGCGATGGTGGTGCCCAGCGACATGAGCGTGTTCATGCTGCCAAAGCGGTAAAAGCGCTGCAGGACAGGGGTCCGCGACCCCCGCCGCCAGAGGGCCCAGATCTCCTTAAAGGCGCGGACGTGGAAGACGTCGGCGGCGAAGAAGTAGACGGGCGTCGCCATGATAAAGAGGGCCATCTGCAGGCGGCTGATGCCCGAGGTCCAGGGCAGCATGAGGTGGTGCTTGTCGCCGTTGCTGTCGGGGACGAGGGACATGTAGACTACGCCCAGGACAAAGGTCGGCACGCACACCATGCCGGTAAAGATGACTCTGTAAAGTATCTGGCGCTGATGCCGGCGCTGGATCTCTTTGGACCGCTCCTCCAGAGTTGGCGGATGGTGTATGGACGCGCTGAATACTGGGTCGCTTGCTTCAATGGCTGCTATGATTTTGCGGATTGTAAGCCCAGGCGGCTGGGGCACGTAGGTTGCCCTCAGGATTGGGTGCTGCCGCGTGGGTTCCTTGTCGATGGTGAGCGAGTATTGGCTGGCGAAGGGGGCAAGACTTCGAGTGACACGGCTGGGGCAGTGCTCGCAGTACATGCCCTGCACGGCAATTTCGACAGTGCGCTCCTGTCGCGCGGCATCATCGCTCTCTTGGATGACGACGACCGAGTCGACAGCAGCGTCGTAGCCGAGACTCTCGACCGCCTCGACTATGTCATCCGTCTTGTCCTTGTCCAGGAAGTCGATGGTGGCGCTGTTGGTTAAGAGGTTGACGGTGATGTTTGAGATCCAGTCTCGCTGCTTGAGGTCTTGAGTGATGGTGTTCGAGCATGCGGCGCAGGTCATGCCACCGATGGCCAGGGTCGCCCTCCATACCGGGGCGTCCTCGACGTCCGTCGTGACGAACGACTTGGTAGACATGCCGATGGGATGTTTTGACGAAGACGAGAGCCCTTCGTCCTTGCTGGCAGCCTGGTACTTGACAGCGGGATGCGATGGTGACGCGATAGAGTCGATAGCTGTCTCGCCCTTTGACTCTGGGCCTGTTGCCGAGCTGATACTCTTCCTGCGGCACTCCTCGCAGTTCTTCAAGTGCGCGTCCCGTCGATCGGCGGGAGACCTTGAGCCGAAGACTGGAGACCTAAGCCAGCCCGACAGTGAGAGGGCGGGCTGCTTCCCTTTATCCCTCGCACGGTCGGCCGCACCATCTCCCCCGGTGCCAGCCGCGGTGGTGGCAGCAGCAGCGTGGGCGCCAGGGACCTCGTACTCCCCGAGGGTGGACGTGATACCGCACACCCTGAAGCCGGCCTGCTCGAGTTGGGCGGCCATGGTCGAGATGGGGGCGTCTGGGTCGTGTTCCACGGTCACGACGGCGGTCACGATGTTGGGAGATACCCATTTTATCTGGCCCCCGCACGACGCGTGCAAGACATCCTTTATGGCGGAGACGCAGGTGGGACAGTGCAGGTTGCCCAGAAGGAAACTGGTCACGGCGGGGTCTGTCGAGCGACGGGCTGTGTGAGACGACGCCATGGCGGCGGCGCTTTCCGTGCTGCCGGCACGCCCAGCTGGGGGGTGTGGTCTCTGGTCTGTAGCCTCTGACGTGTGGTCTGCACCGTGCCGGTTAGGTCGCGGAGCAAGGAGATCGATCGGATCCTTCGGGGAGCTATTCCCGGGACTGTTCCCGGTGTCTGATACAAGAGGCTGAGGGAGTCGAGTGAGGAGTCCGCCGGGCTCTGAGTCGTTGTCTCTCGTGGCCTGCCCTCCTCTCTCCAGCTATTTGGTAATCGATATTGACGCGGGTTATTAAACCGAGCCCAGTTAGGAAATGCGGACCGGGGGCGTCAGGCGTGCTCGGTTGCCGGCTGATGTCGAGGGGATACCGAGTGAGACTAGGTACCTGTTTGGGTACCTGGAATAGGTCCCCTTCTTCCTAAAGGTACCTCCGTTTGGTGGGCGCGAAACCAGAAAGTGACCCCGGGAGACGGGACGGCAGACGGCAGACGGCAGACGGCAGTGGCTCGTGGGGTTTCTTGGCACTAAAAAGGCCTGGGCGCCATAAATGTTTGCTTTTGCCGCCTGCGAGGGTCCTGCCGCACTTGCTCTTCCTGGGATGGGTGGGTAAAATCGAGGGTGTACGGCGCTGGGAAGGCAGAAGCGTGGCCGTCTTCTAAAACAAGCAAGCCCAGCCGGCGAGCACGCCCGAAGGGAAACAACACTAAACGAGAACACGGCGTGTCCAGAAAACCATTCGATAGCAGCCAGACAGTCGGCAGAGAAGAACGGAGTTGGGTGTAAAACAAGTGCGACGGTAGCTCAAAGTAAAGTGAATCACTCGGCCTTGCTCCTAGTAGCGTTTCGCAACACGATATTAAGCACAGGGCGATGCGAGCAGAGTCGATGTGAAGAGGGAGGAGACATGCACTGGGACAACACATTCACCAAGCTGGCTAAGCTGCTTTTTATTCATCACCTAGATTCTCTGTAGCGAGATTGAATGGCCCCAAGTGGAGGGACTCCCCCAGTTTGTGACCCAGGATTCTGTATGTTGCTTTCGCCTACTTCACCCTTCCATCAGTGATGGTCGGCGGCGTCGTAGCTGCGATTAATCATGAGGCTGTCGTTCACGCACAAGTCGCGCAGGACCCATCAACCTGCGCGCGATGACTGATAAGTGCCGTTTCAACGCATGGACCCCTGCCGTGGCAGCCACTAAGTGGAGCCGATAGCCCCAGGCAGGGCACTAGCCAAGACGCAGAGCCGACCGCACCCCGGTGACCGCTTCGTTCCGTCAACCCCATTGCCCCAGTGGATGATGGGGTTCCGAGCGATATGTGCGGTCTTTGTGCCGGCCAGTTTTGATGGCAGGGATCGACGGGCGACCAGGTGCCAGACGCAGGCAGAGTCGAGTTTGGCGGTGGCCTCCACGGTCCATCGCATAATCGACCAAGTGCTACTCCACGCCAAAAGTCCGCACCACGCGAAAAGGCCGCAACGCACCAGGCACAGCCTGGCACCAACTGAAAAAAAAAATCCGAACCGCAAAAAAGGGGCTCTCATTTCAAAGTCAATTAACACCACCAAAAAAAAGCAATAACTATAATTTATTTGCAAATTAATGGGCAGTCATTTTACCTTCGCTTTTTATGTTTGTCGAAAAAATTCGTGCTGTTTTGGGCGTATTATGGTGCTTTGGTATGTTGCAATTGGATTGATTGAGTTTTTTGCTATAGAGTTTGGGTGGGGAAAAGCATTTTGCGGTTCGGATTTTTTTTTTCAGTTGGTGCCTGGATTCCACGGTCCATCGCATAATCAACCAAATGCTACTTCACGCCAAAAGGCCGCAACGCACTAGGCACAGTTTGGACTCCACGGGTCCATTGCATAACCAACCAAATGCTACTCCACGCTAAAAGTCCGCACCACGCGAAAAGTCCGCAACGCACCAGGCACAGTTTGGATGCCACGTCGACAAATGGCAAGCCTCAACTGTTCAGGTCCATAGCTAGGGCACGATGCGAAACTGTTTGCAAGCGTAGCTGCGTGTCGGCGTCGCATCACGGCTGCAGTGCCCTGCGTCCCATCTCAAGGTCGCGAATATTCTGCCCTGCTCCAGGAAAGCGACACTTGCTCGCCTGGTGGCGTAGTTGCTGTGTATCCATTCTCCTGGGAAGGAGGCGCCAGCCAAGTCCGCGTTTACCCTTTTGTACCTCGTCCCTAGACTGATGCTGCCCCATCCCGTGTATCCTGTGGTCAGCCAGGTTCCCGGGTGACAGACAATGTCCAACACACCCCCAATGTGGAACAAGTCGAGCCTTGGGGCTAGCCAGCATATGGTGTCGCCGTCACTCCCACACAGAGCAGTCAGTGTCCACGCGGGAACCCCATGCGACAGAGCGTTGAGCTCTGTCGCAGGCCTCACTGGCGCAACACCCATGTGTGGCTTTTCCCAAGGTTGGAGGAGCCGTCGTATCGGCTATCTGTCACCCAGGGACAAGTAGCCTCGACTTGCCTTTGCTGTAGTCTGTTGGTTAGCGAGCCGCCACGCCACCAAAACGTGGTGTTCCGCGCCATGTTGCATGACAGCCCGTCAACCCCATCACATCTCGCCTCCCACGACGACATGGCTTGCCATGTACCAAGCTAACAGAAGCCACCGCCAGCCGCCATCGGTTAATTGACGCAACCAAGCCGACGCCTCGATCTGGGGCTCCCTTACCCCTCACGCCAAGTTGGCAGATAATGGCGAGAAGAGGGTCATGCCGTTAGGAGGCGTCTTCTCACTTCGTACTGGGCGATGTCGGCACCCGAACCACGGTCTCGCATCTGCCCTGGGCGACCGCTGACTTCGGCCCTTTCGGTGATTTCTGTCTCCGACCGAGGGGCGAGGACGGAAATGTCCCCGTCGGCGGGAGTTGTGCCGTCGGGCGGGACGAGGTTGACTCAAAAGGCTCAGTGCATGAAAAACACGGGCTTGTGTGGGCGCAACCACAATACCGCCTGAACCACCTCCCATTTGACCCAGAAGGAGGACGGAGCCCGAGACAGGGGAGCGGGAGGTCGTTGAGACGTCAGGCGTCAAAATCCTTCCAACCCCGATCGCCATGTCAGGCGCAGGTTCCTGCATAATCGGGGCCCTGCCACCTGCCACTGGTGTGCGTGTGCCTGACCTGCAGCGGCGCTTGTGTTACCCCGGGTGGGTGGCCGCCATGGAGGCAAACAAACCTCGTGCGCAGTCGAGCCAAAGACCCGGAAACAGGATTCGCTCAACATGTTCTGGGGTGGGATACTGAGACGCGCATTACGAGATCCTGTCCCGGAAGCCTGATGCACAAGAGGCCGGCTCATATGCCCGGGCCCGATGTTGGGGGCATGAGTATGCAGCGCGTTGCGGCCACTCCCCCGCCAGAGGCCGGACCTCACGGCCGAGACAGAACTCGGTCCACATTTCGTTTCCCACCCTCGGCCGAGTGACGGGAGCTGAGGAACGCGATCTCTCTACGGCCCGATCGACCCGCCCGAGCGGGCGGGAGGGTGTTTTGCCGTCGCCACTTGGCTGGGAGGCGGGCGAGCTGTTACTACCGTCACATACGAGCGATCCTCAATAGACGCGCTGGGTCTGTATCCCCAAAAATGACGCGAACGGGCTCGACAAAGATCCAGGCAAGACTCGTGCCCGTGTCGATGAGGGGCGTGACGTGCCCCTTTCTCGACGCAGCAGGAAAGAGCCATGGCCAGGGCGTGATGGAAAAGAAAGACAAGAATAACAAAAAAGGGGAACAAATTGGTCGGACGGGTAATCCATCGGCCGGAACCAAGGGTTCGGATACGGGAATCCAGGGCAGCGTCGCACACGCTGTCTGAGGTATCTCGACGTCCTGGTGGTATTCCGTTTATGACCGACTGTAGGTCATGTTTGTTTGTCACTGGGAGATAGTATTTTGGGTCGCCATCAAATTGTGCAGAAAGATCAACCCAAGAACCGGGTCAGCAGCGCTGTTAGATCAATGGCAACGCAGATACAGAACTGTCCCATCGAAACGCGATGATGCCATTCACGTGGAAGTCATTTGCCACATCTCGTGATTTGAACGGAAATCCATCCTACACAAAACTCGGCGTCGGAGCCGCTGCGCCTGGGAGTTCCGACGTCACGCTATCCCCAAAGCGGCCTAGCGTCCGATTGCGTGATCGAGCTCGACAGATCCTTTTCAAACTGCCCCATCGCAGAGCAGCCCCCACGAAACCCTGCCAACGCCCTGCGTAAGGAAGGCGAAATCCTCGATTCGCCATGGCGGACGAGGCCTTTTTTTCTTCTCTTGCGTCTGGGCCGGGCCCTCTACCAAAAAGGAGGTGTCCGCCCCAGACCGCCGCGGGTCGGCGATTCCGTAATTGGAAACTGGTAGGTGCCCCGGATGTCGGGCGGCATCTTTTTTTCTTCACGCTACTCATGTTTTAGTCTGATTGTTCACATTCCACCCTTGGCCTCCTTCCCTCGAGTGCTTGTCTGCGTTTGAGTGCCGTGCTGTTCTAGTTATTTCAAATCTATTGTTTTTTTGTTTTTTTGTTTTTGCCTGAGCACTGTTCCTTTACGTTTTTCTCGCCCTAGAATATTTTCAGAATTTCACTTTATCTTGGTGTAATTCGCAAGTGGCCCTCCTCACCGCATTGCTTGTGTGGTTACGGATATCGGAGTGCCGTATTCGCCATCGATAGTATCCACCTCCGTCAACACAGGCTGTTAGCCTCCGCTACTCCTTTATTATTATCTTGAGTTTGTTGGCCTTCGCCGTGTCGCAAACTGTTTAGAGTGACCTCCCTCGGCATCACCAACACCGCCAAGATGCAACTGAAACATGACGAGTCGTCCGGCGGCGTCGCCGTCGATGCCAGCCCGGCGCCGGCCTGGGAGAAGGGCTCCTCCAGCCTCCCGCTCGGCCAGCACGTCCCCGTCGCCTCCATCTCGGGCCCGACCTACGTGACGGCCCAGCTGCTAGTTCAGCAGATCGCCTACAAGCTGTCCGACAAGATCTTCTCCTACTCGCCCGAGACCTTCGACCTCGACCTGGCCGTCAGGCGCTGGGCCGCCGAGAAGGAAACCAACATCCACGGCTGCGCCACGGACGTGATCCCGCTCCAGATCCGGACGGGTGCCGGCGCCTTCGCTCTGGGCTACATCTTCTCCAAGGACTTCGACCTCAGCCGGCGCCACGTCCCGCAGTCGCTGCTCGCGCCCTCGGCCGGCCTGCGCCACCTGCGCGCCGCCCTGGACCAGCTGGCCCTGCTCTACGACGTCGCCAGCCCCTTCGTCGCCCACGTCGCCGCCCTTGACTACACGGCCAGCGATGGCCTGGTGGCCGAGTACGGCGCCGCCCTGCAGGCCGCCGAGGACCTCGGCCTGGGCCTGGTCGCCAGCTCGTCGGCCTACGAGGCCCAGCACATGGCCATCCTGGCCACCCTGCTGGCCCGCCTGCTGCCGACCCTGCACGTCTACGACGGCGTGCGCGTCGCCCGCGAGACCCTGCGCGTCGTCGACGCCCTGAGCGAGTCCGGCATCCGCCAGGTGTACGAGGCCGTGTCGCAGGCCGTCGGCGCCACCAACAAGCGCCTCGATGTCGCCGGCAAGGTGCTCGAGACGCTGCGCGCCTTCAACGGCGAGCTCGGCACCGACTACCGCCCCTTTGAGTACTTTGGCCACGAGGCACCCGAGGCCGTCGTCGTCGTCTTCGGCAGCGCCGAGTCCCAGATCGCCAGCGAGGTCGTCTCCCACCTGGCGGACCAGGGCAAGCGTGTCGGCGCCGTCTCCGTCCGCATCTACCGCCCCTTCATCGAGGAGGCTTTCCTCGACGTGCTGCCCGAGTCGGTGCGGCAGATTGCCGTCTTCGGCCAGGTTCAGAGCGATGCTCTGGTGCAGGATGCCTCGGTGCAGTCTGCCTTGTACTCGGACGTGCTCGCCGCCGTGGCTTTCTCGAGCAAGTGGAACCACGAGCCAGCCGTTGTGGACGCCAAATACGCCGCCACCGATATCATCAACACGAGCACCCTGGCCTCTGTGCTTACCAACCTAGTTTCCAAGGATGGCCAGGCCTCTGTCGGGGTTCGCCTCAGCCAAATCCACCAGGTTAATCAATACTCCTTCTGGGATGTTGACAACTCTGCTGCCACAAACTCGCCGGCCACAATTGGGCGTCTCCTCGTCAAGGAGTCCTCCAGCAACGTCTACGTGCACGGCGTTCACGACAGCGTTATCCAGGGAGGCATCATCCGGACCGACATCCGTAGCTCTGCAAAGTCGATCGATGCTCCGTACGAGATTGACGAGGCTGATGTTGCCTTTGTGGGTGAGGAGAAGCTTCTCAAGGAGCTGGCAATTCTGCAAAATGTGAGGCCGGGAGGCAAGCTTATCCTCCGGTTGCCAAACTGCAAGCCAGAAGATGTCGAGAAGCGCATCCCTGCAAATGTGCGGTGGGTGATCCACGAGAACAGCATTGAGCTGTTCGTCCTGGACTCTTCCTTCTCGCCGGCGTACGAGAGCATCGCAAAGCAGCTGGTGGAGCTGGCTTTCCTCAAGGTTGCCAGGCCCGAGCTGTCGGTCGACGAGCTGGTCAAGCTGGCCGACGGAATCGAGGACGCCCAAGTCATCAAGGAGAGCATCAACGCCCTCGACGAGGCTCTGCGCCAAGTCGAAGTTCCCAAGTCCTGGGTCGAGCTCCCGTCCGACTTGGTGGCAACGAACCTGCGTCTGTCCATCAAGAACCGCAGCTTTGTTCCCTTCCATAAGGAGCAGCCGGAGGAGGTCCTGGGGCTTTCGGACTGGAAGGCCGCCGCCAAGGCCCTCGCATTCAGGGAAGCCTACGCGACAGCCGATGATCTCCGTCCGGACCTTGTAGTCAAGACATTTACGGTGAGCGTCAAGGAGAACCGCCGCCTGACGCCGCTCACCTATGATCGCAACATCTTCCACATCGAGTTCGACCTCGGTGATTCTGGTCTTACCTACCAGATTGGCGAGGCCCTTGGAATCCACGCGGACAACGATCCCGTGCAGGTGCAGGACTTCATCAAGTCCTACGGCCTCAACGCTGAGGACATCACCCAGGTGCCGTCGCGGGAGAACCCTGCGGTGCTAGAGACGCGCACCGTGTACCAGTCGCTGGTGCAGAATCTCGATATCCTCGGCAAGCCCCCCAAGCGCTTCTACGAGGCGCTGGCCGAGTTCGCCACGGACCCAATCGAGAAGAAGAAGCTCGAGGACCTCGGCGGCAAGGCCGGCGCCGACAGCCTCAAGGAGAGGTCCGAGGTGCAGACGCTGACCTACGTCGACCTCCTCGACGAGTTCAAGTCGGCGCGTCCTTCGTTCGGCGACCTGGTCCGCATCGTGTCGCCGCTCAAGCGCCGCGAGTACTCGATCGCGTCGGCCCAGGCCGTCACCCCGACCAGCGTGTCGCTCATGATCGTCGTCGTCGACTGGGTCGACCCGCTCGGCCGCACGCGCACCGGCCAGGCCACGCGCTACCTGTCGACCCTGCCCGTCGGCGCCACCGTCACCGTTTCGGTCAAGCCGTCCGTCATGAAGCTGCCCGCCTCCGACACGGCCCCGCTCATCATGGCCGGCCTCGGCACCGGCCTCGCGCCCTTCCGCGCCTTCGTGCAGCACCGCGCCATGCAGAAGGCGGCCGGCAAGGAGATCGGCGCCATCCTGCTCTACATGGGCAGCCGGCACCAGCGCGAGGAGTACCTGTACGGCGAGGAGTGGGAGGCGTACGTGGACGCGGGCGTCATCACGCTCCTGGGCGCCGCCTTCTCGCGCGACCAGCCGCAGAAGATCTACATCCAGGACCGCATGCGGCAGACGCTGGACCACATCGTCAAGGCGTACGTGACCGAGGGCGGCTCCTTCTACCTCTGCGGGCCGACCTGGCCCGTGCCCGATGTCACGGCCGTGCTGGAGGAGGCCATCGCCTCCGAGGCCAAGGCGGCCGGCCGCAAGGTCGACCCGCGCAAGGAGATTGAGAGGCTCAAGGAGGAGGTGCGATATGTGCTTGAGGTTTACTAGGTAGTTTGTTGGTTCTTATGTGAAGTATTTGGAGGCAAAATGTCCATATTAGGCAAGATTTAGATAAAACTTACGTCTCACGAATTGACGCATCACACTATTGTTTTAATCGTGCTTAGCGGACTCCATCTTCATGAATTGTATCGTCGATGTTTACTTGTGCCAGAGGGCCGTGAGATTGCAAGCGCTTTTAGCCCGCACAAGTATTCCTAAGTGGTCGCATGACGTTGGATATTAGCGTTGGAAATGTGGGCCCCGCAGACTTGCGCGAAGACAAACAGCGCATCAACGTCAACTGCAAGAGAAAACTACCCACGGCCACCAAACGTTGCCCCCATGGATGCGCCTTCCGTTTTAACTTCACTCCCGCCTCGAACCAACCCGATGCCTTGATACCGGTTCTAAATCGCCAAAATGGACACGCGATCGAAGCGGAAAGCTGCACAGCAGCTCACCCCGCCCTCGAGTTTCCTGACGACGCGTCCGACAACGCGTCGCAGTCGCAACATTCCCTTCGCCGCCGCCATCGACGACGGCACCAACGGGCGCCCGCCGGCCGGGCCCCCAGCCTCGAGGTCGCGCTCGGAGCCCGGGGCCACAAAAGCCAGCGACATCCACAGCTATGGCACGCGCAGCCGCCGCCGCGCCATCGTCCTCACCGGCCCCGACACCGTCGCCAGCCAGGAGCTGGCGGACGGCGGACGACGTGACGGCCAACACGGGACGGCGGCCGACAGCGACAGCGAAGACGACGACGACGACTACGACAACATCCCCGCTGCATTCGCACCCGCCCCCGCCGCGCCGCGCCTGAGGAAGCGCAAAGCCCCCGTCGCCGGGATCCTGAACGCGGAGCCCTCGCCGCGCAAGGCCAAGAGGACCAAGCGCAGGGGCCCGGCTCTCGCCGCCTCTGATGCAATGCGCTCAATACCAGATGGAGCTTATGCGAGCAGCGACGGCGGTGGCAGGCTTGCGACCCGATTGCGGTCTAAGGGACAGAATCGCGCCGCGCAGCCTCCTGTCGATCTACCCCGCCCGCCCGCGGGCCGAGGGGGTCAGAGCGGTCGCCGAGGGAGTGGGAAGGCCTTTGTTGAAGATGTGGAGGATCGTGTACGGGGCGATGAGACCAACGATCAAGCGGAGGATACCATCGAGGTTCAGGGTGATCAGCAGGGAGATGCGACCGAGGGTGGGGGTGATCGAAGGGGGGATACGACCGAGGTTGAGGATGACCAAGAGGAGAGTATATTCGTGGCTCAGGACTATCGAGAGGATAACCACGGGAGCCAGGAGAAGGAGCACCAAGACGGCATGTCCAAATTACTCGACGAAGAAAACAGCCAATTCGACGACCAAGAAACTGAAGAAGAGGCACGGCCAGAATACGAAGAAGCCAACGGTCCAGACCCAGAGGCTAGAGAGGCGGAGTATGTATATGAATCGAGTCGAGAGGTGGAAGAGGATGACTACGTGGCCGAGGAGGATACCGTGGACGACGACGACGACGGCGACGACGACGGCGATGCCGAGGAGGAACATAGTCATGCCGAGACGCCAGACGATGACAACCGCCAAGCACTCCAACCTCGACCCGCTTCCTCTTTGTTCAGGCCTGCCTCCTCTCTGCCTCGACCTGCCCCACGCCCTGAACGCGGGATCGCAGTCCGTAGGTCGGACGCCCCTTACGAGGTGCCTTCGGATAACGACGAGGAAGCCGCCGTCGGCTCTGTCGACGGCGATGAACGCGCCGCCGGTTCTGTCGACGACGACGCACGCCCTGATGTTAGACACCGTGAACTTCCGCTAGGGTCTGATAATCAAGCTGCATTGGAGCTAGAGCTTACCACGGTCTCACGAGGCTGCATATTCAAGTTGACCCGCCTTATGGGCAAGGAAGCCTGGGCTGGATCTGGAGACTCGTGGCCACAGCGGCTTCCACGCGCACCAGATTCTAATATCGGTCCCGTTCGAGATCTTAAGGATAGCTTTGAGGATTTAAAAAACAACCTCGCCCACGCGCCAAGGAACACCGATCTCGTGCAGCAGGCGCGCTTCTTCCGCTACCACGCGCCGCTGTTCGAGGACACCATGAACTCCATGCGGACTCTCGTCGAAAGGATTGCTCGCTATCTGCGCCACGGACGGAGGCCCGCCACTCTGGCCCGGGACCTGATGAAGACGGCATTTCCGATGGGAGTGCTCGCCCTCGGTGAAGCGTTCGACGTTGCCGGCACCCGGCCGCCCGGGCCAGGCCGGCGCTATGCCGACTTTTCCGTCCCCATGGCCGCAATAGTCCAATGCCTCGCCAGATGTATGGGCGACCTGCTAGTGGCGATGCAGGGCGTACCAACGGGGGGTAGCGAGCACGAGAGCCAGCTGCACCAGAAGCAACGGGATACATTCCTGGTGTCTCTGACGGAGCTACGGGAGGGCCTGGCCAGGGCCGAGGATCAGGCCGTGGCGAACGCGGCGGAAGTGGCCAGGCGCGAGGAGCTCGATCGCGAGAGGGAGCTCATCCAGCGCCAGGACCAGTTGCGCGCCATGGAGCGCGACGAGCGGCTGCGCAGGATCCGGCAGCGCGACAAGGCAGAGGCCGAGGCGGACAGGCGCAGGCGGTACGAGGCCTTTGT